AGGGGCCTTCGTTTCTCTGCCGTTGACCCCCATCCTTCTTTGCGCTTTCTGGTCGGGGACAGAGGGTGGCGCTTGGGGGGGGGGAATTGTCATCACGCCACTCCTTGGTGTGTGGAGTGCCTCAGGGTGCGATTCTCTCCCCGATGCTTTTTAACATCTTTATGCGCCCCCTCGCCCAGCTTGTCCGGAGTTTTGGGCTGGGTTGCCATCAGTATGCCGATGACACCCAACTCTATCTGTTGATGGATTGCCATCCTGACTCGGCCCCAGACACACTGACCAGATGTCTGGAAGCTGTGGCTGGATGGTTACGTGGGAGCCGGTTGAAGTTAAATCCTTCGAAGACAGAGCTCCTCTGGCTGGGACGCGGCGATATGGGATTGAGGGGGCAACTCCCATCTCTTGCTGGGGTGCAAGTAGTGCCAGCATCGTCTGTTAAGAGTTTGGGTGTAATCTTTGATACCTCCCTCTCTATGGAGGGGCAGATTACAGCTATAACAAAGGCGGCATTTTTTCATCTCCGCCAAGCTAAGCAGTTGGCTCCTTACCTCTCTCGCCCTGACCTAGCCACTGTGATCCACGCGACGGTCACCTCCAGATTGGATTATTGTAACTCGCTCTACGTGGGGCTGCCCTTGAGACTGACCCAGAAACTCCAGCGGGTGCAGAATGCCGCGGCGAGACTCCTTACGGGGTCCTCACTGCAAGATCACATTCATCTGGTACTATACCAGCTGCACTGGCTCCCGGTGGAGTACAGGATCAGGTTTAAGGTGCTGGTTTTAACCTTTAAAGCCCTATACGGCCTAGGACCCTCGTACCTACGGGACTTTCTCTCCTGGTATGTCCCACAGAGAAATTTACGGTCTGCAAATAAAAACATCCTGAAGATCCCAGGCCACACAGAGGTTAGGCTGGCCTCAACTAGAGCCAGGGCTTTCTCGGCCGCGGCTCCGATCTGGTGGAACGCTCTGTCACAAGAGACTAGGGCCCTGTGGGACCTGACATAGAATCATAGAATCATAGAATCATAGAGTTGGAAGAGACCACAAGGGCCATCGAGTCCAATCCCCTGCCAAGCAGGAAACACCATCAGAGCACTCCTGACATATGGTTGTCAAGCCTCTGCTTAAAGACCTCCAAAGAAGGAGACTCCACCACACTCCTTGGCAGCAAATTCCACTGTCGAACAGCTCTTACTGTCAGGAAGTTCTTCCTAATGTTTAGGTGGAATCTTCTTTCTTGTAGTTTGGATCCATTGACATCTTTCCGCAGGGCCTGCAAGACAGAGCTGTTCCACCAGGCCTTTGGTCAGGGCGCAGCCTGACCCCCTCCTCTGGCAATCTGCACAGAATTTTGCTTAATGGTTGCCATCAATTTGATTTTAATTAAAAGGCAAAAGATTTATACGATCTGAGGAGAAGCAAGAGTATTTAGGGCTTCCGGGTTGGTGCCTCTGGCAATGGCTGATTTCCTCCGATCGGGAGGAACCCGCTCTGTGAAAAACAGGGTCTGAACCGCCACGGCGAGGCGGAGACCCATTAAAAACCACAGGCGGGAGAAGCCTGTGGACGTGGGATTCGGCTGGCACCTTTGCGCCTCCCCTACTCACGGGGAAACCCTGTTTTGGGGATCCGGAGCGACGTGGGGTGAGTGGCGCGGTGCTTTGAATCGACTGCTTCCTTCACGGAGTGAAGCCGCATTGCTGTTGCTGGAGAGCGCTGACTTTTTCCTGTGGACAATTGGATTTTAAACAACTACTCGTGAGTAAACGGAAAATTGGATTTTTAAATACTTCAATTTGGCACTGAAACGGGAAGGTTATAAACAGGAAGTCCGCCTCCCGTTTTTGTAAATAGACTGAAGCAAAGACGTTACAAGTAAAGCGTTTGAAAGCTTTTGGCAAAGGATCAAAATTCCACCGGTTTAAAGTTACAAAACCCCCTTTGGAAGCAGGAGAAGAGGGGGAAAATTTGGATCTAGTGAGCCTGCAGGAGAGAGTGAAAAAATCAAATTACCACTGCTCTGAACCTGGGAACGGGCTGCCAGATGACATTTGGAGAGAGTGCTTTTGACAGAACGGATTTGACAGCTAGCTAAACAAGAGTAAGATACTGTTTCCATTGTCCCTTTCTGCGTTTAAAAAAAAAGAGGAAAAGTAACTGAAATTTTACCTTTAATGTTTGAAATTGTGCTTGAAAGAACTGATACCCGTGGAGACTGTTTCCCTCTAGAGGAGCTTTTGAAACTGTAACAGGACTGTAACTGGGGAATTTCCAGCTGCAGAAAAGGAGTTTGGGAACCAGAGAGTGACCTTGGACTATTTAAAAATGTTGACAGGAGAGGCCATTGTGACTGTTTTATGTAAGATAAGCTGTTCGCTGGGACAGCTTCACAAGAAGATGGATGATATGACTCTCAAAGTTGATAATTTGGAACAGAAAGTGACCAACTTGAGTCAAAAAGCGAACACTAACACAGAAATAATTCAGGATTTGGTACAGGAACCCATTTTGGCAGGACAAATGGTGGAGGAGAAGGAGGAGAAGGAGAATGCAGCTGTTGTTCAACATAAAATAATACAAGTGAGATCTGTGGATTTACAGAAGCAAACTGGAGATTATAAGTTGAGGCCTTCTATGATTGAATCCAGGAAAAGCCAGACTCCGAGGAATGGATCCCGGTTTGGATTAAAGAAGGAAAGTTGGAAAGAGCCCTCTATGCAGGAACTAACTGACTTTTGGGACATGGACTCGGGCCTGGAGGAGATTGAAGTTTTGGGGGCCTTTGGAATTGGAGGAATTTTGAAATATATCCGGAAATACTTTATGGACGGTAGTTTTAACTATGGAAATTCAGCTGATTTGTTAAGAAGGAAGAAAAGGATTGACAGGTTGGAATTTCCCCGAGATTGGCTCTTTAGCATTAAAGAAAATGAAGAAGACCTGCAGAAGGGACTTGGAAAAGAGTTAAGAGCCTCGGACATAAGATCACCAGGTTGATGGACTTTATGGAATTGACGGAAAGGACTGGCAGAATCCGAAACCTGGGAGAGGAGATGGTGGAAGAAGATTGGAAAATTTAAAGTTTTTATATAGACTTATGGTAAAACTAATGAGTGATAGAAAAATGGTGGAATGATTTTTTTATCTTTTATTTTTTATGGGCTTAACAGAAATGTTATAAGGAGTTAAGTACATATAAGTAATTTTGTTTTAATGGAAAATAAGGTTAAAATAATACGTTATTTACAATATCACAGAAAATGGAGAAAGATGGAAAGGATTTGCTGAAACAATTAATAGAAGCGGAACACAAACAGGGAGGTGTGAGGAGGTCGAGGAAACAAGGGAACGAAAGATAGAGTATGGAAAAGAGAGGATGTATGTTTTTAAATTGTTTTTGTTTTGGGGAGTGGGGTTTGTTTAATTTAGTTTGGTGTGTTTGGTTTTGAGTTTGGGTTGTGTTTTGTATTGTTTGTATATTGTATTGTATTGTGTGTGTTTTTTTTCTCTCTCTTTGTTTTTTTTCTTTGCTTTTTCTTTTGTTGTTTTTTCTCTTTTGCTTTCCCCCCCTTCTCTTTTTGTAATTCATAAAAGTAATAAATATTATTTTTTTTAAAAAATGATTTTAATTAATTCTATAATGAATGTTTTTAGAATGCTGGATTATTTTGATTGTTGTTAGCCGCCCTGAGCCCAGCTTCGGCTGGGGAGGGCGGGATATAAATAAAATTTATGATGATGATGATGATGATGATGATGATTATTTCGGCAAACACATGGCTGCCCGTGCAGCCTTGGCCTCTGCTTTTGGCATGTTTCGTGCACGGAGATCCTGTCCCATCTGTGCTCTCTGCTTCTCCCCCAGTGCCGCCTCCCATTTTGTATGGTACTTTGCTTTCTTCTTGCCCTCAATATCCCATGAAATTTGCTTGTTAAGTCCCCCACACATCTGCAAGCTCTCTGATAACCATATAAAGCACTGATACGGTGCATGAAACAACATGGGAGAAACAGTTCACACTTGCTTCCCTCATCTCTCTCCCCCCCCCCTTTATTTCATATACTGCATTCAACCCCCATCTTTCCTCCAAGGAGATCTAGGTGGCATAGATGATGCTCCTCCCTGCCCAATTTTTTTCCTCACAACAACTCTGTTAGGTAGGTTAGGTTAATACATGACGATGGGCCCAAGGGATTTGGACTTGGGTCTCCTTTGTCTCAAGCTCTTACCACTACACCACACAGCTTCCTAGTGATTTTGAATTTCCCCTTGGTGTTGTGTTTTCTACTAACTTCTCATCATGAGAAGTTACAGTACTCCCCTCTTTGGGTTTCCCACAATCCCTGTATGGTCTTCCCACTGTGGCCCCAGTCTGGAAATTTGACGGCTCATGTCTTGCATAGCTGTACTGAGAATTGCTTTGCAATTAATTGCCTGGCAGTGCGGAGAGGAAATGACTCTTTACCTGAACAGAACTCAGCTCAAGGAATTTCAAGCTGACGTGCGTGCCTTTGCCTTTTGCACTTCTTTTCCTGCAGTGTTCCATGCTTCCTCCAGCCGTAGGCATCCACAAAGGAGACAACCCTGCACCCCATGAACCATAACTCCCAGATTCCCCGCTTTTCATTTTAAACAAGCTAAGTTTCAAGCCTGAGATACGAGGCAAAAAAGTACAAGAAGTACGGTAATTATTCTCATTTTGTACGGCAGAGAGGTTAGCTTGCTTTCCCCTTTTTGGTGGTTTAGCTCCACCTTCCCAAAAACATTTCTGCAGATGCCCTTGCCTCCAGCCTAACTTTGTGTATGGCAGCACCTCACCTTAGCCAAGGGTCAGTGTGACTGCCCCCCTGCTCTTTATCTGTCTGAACTGCCCCTTAGAAGCTGAAAACAGCAACTGTCAAATCTGGCCCTAATGCTTTGTGTTTCGTTGTTGTTGTTTTTCAATAGGCAGAGCCCGTGACAGGATTGAGACTGGCTGGCACTGAGCCGCTGTCATGATCTCTGCAGCGCCTCTCTACAGCGGGGTGCACAACTGGACTGGCGCTGAGTGGATTCGCATGTGTGGCCTCAGCGAAGAGAGGTGAGGTGCGCGTGGCCTCCACAGGCCAGGAGGGAAGAGGTTGGGCAGCTGGTGTGTATGAGGTGTTGGATTCCTTGTTAGAGGATGCTGGGAAAAGGGGTGTCCTCCAGTTTGCAGAAATGCAGTTCAGCTGACTTAATTTGTAGGGTATTTTAGCCAAAGAGACTTGGGAGTGGGGCTGGGGAACCTGTGGCCCTCCAGACTTTGCTGGGCTACAACTCCCACCATTCCTGATTGTTGCCTGGGGGCTTCTGGGAGTTGCAGTCCAGCAACATCTGCAGGGACACAAGTTCCCACAAGTTCCCGGCACCAGACATCAGCTTTAAACTGTTGCACCATGTACCCACTACTTATCTACAGTGGGTCAAAACAGTAGCTCTACAACCATACAAATATATGGTAAGAAAAATAATAAATGGGTCAGGATATGTATGATTGAGCTAAAGGAAGTTCCTGGGTCTGAAAAAGCTGGAAGACTACTGCTTTAAAGTAGCTATCTTGGTACCCACCAGATGTGCTGACTATGGCTCAGATCAGCACCAGCCAGTACATTTTATGATCTCTGTTAATTATTTTAACTCTCTCTTTTTTGCTGGAAGTGTGTGGCTTTGTTGTTTAATAATAATGAAAGTTTTATTCTTTCCTCCAAGTAACTTGTGGTTCTTCTCTCCCCCGTTGTTTATTCCCACAACAACCCTGTGAGGTAGGCTACTTTGAAAGAGAGTGATCAGCCCAAAGGCACCCAGGGAGCCTCATGGCTGAGTGGGGGTTTGAACCTGGGTCTCTCCTTTCCTAGTCTGCTCTAACCACTGCATCACATGGTATCGAGCCTTTTTTGTCATTAAGTGGTACATTGAATAATAATAATATGTTGTTATTATTATCATTATCATCATTAATTTAAAGTATGAATTTGGCCAAGTAGTACTCAATATTGCGAGATCTATATTAGGATGGTAGTTTTTAAGCTAAAATCAGAAACTTTCAATGTATCAGGTTTGAATGGAGAAGCTTTGCTGGATCCTTTTAATTTTTGCAAGTTGTATGACATTTCACCTGTAACCGTATGCATCACCAACAGAGGCAAAGTGGGACAAATCACTCCTACATGATCACAGGCACCTCTCTGAGTCTCTAGTATGCAGTGGTGCTATCAGGGCAGGGTTTGGAGATGCATGTCCAGAGCCCCACTCCTTAGCAAAAGGAGCGGGAGGGGTCCCAAATGCAGCATGACTGGCTTTCCACATTTTTGAAGTGATGTAATGGACATAATAACTAGCAAAAGTTCCCTGCTGCCCCCAGCAAGACCAGTGTTTCAAGATCATAAATCATAAATCTAAAGCTCATTTGAAGCATACGATTTCCCCCAAAGGATCCTGGGAACTGTAGGTTGTTTTTAGTAGCTAAGAATTGCAGCTTTGTGAGGAGTAGACTGCAGCTCCCAGGATTCTTAGAAGAAAGTCATGTGCTTTAAATTTATAGCATATATGCAGCCTGAAATTAGCTGACAGCACCACCACTAACCACATGTTTTTGAAGAGATAGTGCTGCTCTACCTCCCCAAAAAATGTTGGGGTGGAGGGAAAGAAGGATTACTTTCTAAAAGCATGGCCAGGCTTTCCACTCAGCACTCTTAAGTAGAGTAGGGGATTGAGGTCAGGCCAAGTGGGTAATGTGGGGTATTTGATGCTGGTTTTCTCCATGGTTGAGATATGAGAGAATTTGTGGAAAGTCTGGGAAGCTTGAGGTGAGGGATCTCAGGGGGGAAGGTGGATGGAAGGGATCTCTTCTTTCATCATCAAGATTCTTGGACTCTTCTTTTCCCCCACACTAACTTTGGCTACAATCTCACCTGCTACTTCACAAGTTTACTTCCATCGTCCTTGGTGGTAAAGTTTGGGAAGCTGCAGCCCTGGACCCAAAACAGCATAGATTTAGGAGTGGGTGCCACACGAATCAAGGCAAACAGGTAGAAAAAGGTCTTGGGAGGGAGCTGGTTTTGTCCCTTGTTATGGCTTTGTTAGTGTTCTTCAACCTTGGCTTCCCTGGAGTTGCAGGACTACGGCTCCCATCATCCCTGACTCTTGGCTAAACTGGTTCTGCATGATGGGAGTTTTAGTCCAGCAACACCTGGCGACCAAGACTGAAGCATTCAGTGATTCTGAATTTCTCTTAAGTTACACAGGCCCACTGCTGAAGGTTGGGAAGCCAACCTTGCCTTGCTTGCACATCCTTTAGGACAAGCGTGAGCTGTGTATGACTCATGAACTGCATCTAGCTGATGAAGCCCCCTGCCTACGTGCATCTGCTAACAAGAGATACCCCCAAAAGTGGGGTGGGGGGTGCTTTGGGTCTTGCAGGCTTGGGAGATTGTTTCTCAGCTTCACTGTTCTTTCTCTTCTTTCTGCAACAGGAGAGCCCCACTTTCTGATGAAGAATCCAACACCAGCAACTCCCAGCATCTGGGCTCCCCTGACTCCTGCACTGGCAGTAGCTTTTCTAAGGTAAGGGCAGCTGGTATTAGTGGCTGTACCTAAGGGAGGAGGCTTTGACACTTGCTGAGATACAGAGGGCCTAGGTGGCTAATTATCTGGCCAGCTCAAATGGAATGGGCTGCCACAGGGTGGACTGATGGCCATGGACTTGGGTGACTTTTTTATATAAAGGGTGTTATGCACATTCATGGAGGAGAAGGAGAGATTTGTTAATGGCTGTTTACCCCCTGACCAAGTGGTAGAGCAACTGCTTTGCATGTGTATAGACCCAGGTTCATTCCACATCAACTCCAGAGGATCAGGTTGCAGGTTCTAGGAAGGCCTGAGACCCTGGGAAGCTGCTGCCAGTCAAAGAAGACAGTATTGGGCTAGATGGGCCAGTCATCTGAATCTGGTACAAAAGGATATTCCTGTTTCTTAAGCCAGGATAGCTAAATGGAACCTCCGCGTGCTGAGGCATTCTATCCCCAAGTGATCAGATATTGTGAGGAGAATCAGAGCTTACAGGGTTAATAGCTCTATGTGTCGTCCTGCCCACTGGGAGGTGTATTTTGTTCACATATGGGGAATGTTCTTTGTGTGTGAAGTTACTTTCGGTTTTCGCTGACAAAAGGGAGGATGCCTGCTCTTTCTCCTGGATGATTTATTTGCTATGCTGTACATTAAAGCTTCTTTAGATTAGAAAGAAGCCTGCGTACGGACTGTTATTTTTGCACCCGCACAAGCACACTCCACTGTTTGTGATACTCTGCTCGAAGCTGGGGAAAGTCCAGAAGCACAAGGAAGCGTACAGGACATCCAGAAATCATCACAGGTTGTGGCAGTTGCCTGCATAACACAACAGGTTATGGATTCAGCCACGTCGTGCCTGTGGGGGGGGGGAGCAGGAGATCCAGCTGGAGATCCTGCCTAAGGCTTGAGGCAGTGGAGCTCACTGGTGAAGGCCTCGTCTTCAGAATTGGGTGCCAGGAGCTACTGGAACATGAGTACGCTAAGCCCTGGGGGAGAAGATGGCGGAAGGCCAAGAGTCCTACACAGTCCCTTTTGAGAGACTCAATGGACATAACTGGGAGGAAAGGTCCCGGAAAGCCTGGCTTACAGCCAAAGGTCTGTGGGAGGCAGCTCCGCTTCAGGCTGGAGACGGAGCTGGAGCAGCAGCAGTTGCAACGGCAAATGCCTCACAGAGGAGGGACCAGAGAGCCCTGGGATCTATAGTGCTCAGTCTGGATGGCTCACAGTTGCCAGTTGTTGAGGGTCTTGGAAACGCCCAGGCTGTTTGGCAGGAACTGGAGAGGGTTCATCATGGAACCACAGCGGGAGCCAAAGGCCACATCCCCAGAAGCAGGACAGCCTCAAGGAGAGCTGCCGCCAGGAGTGAGGGAGCAGTAAAGGCAGAAAACACAGTCAAAGCTTTTTCAACATGTCATTGCTTTGTTTGCGGCTCTGATCGACACCTGCATCGAGAGTGTCCAAGGAGAGCAAAGGAATCTGCACAGGATGCCTCCAAGGCTGTTTCCCATGGCAACCAGATAAGAGGGGGAGCCCAGCGTGGGAACGCGAGGAGAGGACGTGACAGAGGAAGTGAGAGAGACAGCACTTCACATCATCTTGCTGCATCTATGGCGATGGTGATAGACAGCTCCAGTGAGGTCAGCATGCTGCGCTGGATCATCGACAGTGGTGCCAGTCATCATCTGCTGCTCTCTGGTGGCCGAATGTGGAACTGCAGAGCTGTTTCGACTGGAAAAGCAGTCACACTTGCAGATGGGTCGCAGAGTCAGCTAATGACTGTTGGAAATACCTTTGTTCCTTTTTTACAGGCGGAACTGGAAGCCTATGTTGTGCCAGGAATGCAATGTTGTCTGCTGTCTGTTTCTTCTCTTGTTACAGATGGCTATAAGGTTAGATTTGAAAATGATGTCTGTTCTATTTCCAGGGGTGGGAAGCACCTGGTTAGTGTTGAATGTCAGAACAAGACTCTTTGTTCTGGAAACACCTCAAGCACATAAGGGTGACACTGAGACAGCACAAGCCCAGTGTGCTAACGTTCCCACTCACGATATGTGTCAGCATTTGTGGCACAGTAGAATGTCGCACAGCAATTGGGGGTATGTCAAGAAGCTGCCAGAATGCACTGAGGGATGCAAAATAAAGGCATGTGATAAGTTCCTGGGTTGAAGAGCTTGCAAGAAAGCTAAGGTTAAAACGTGCACTTATTCCTACCTCTGACAGGGTAACCACAAAACCTTTTGAGCTGGTCCATGCAGATTTATGTGCCCTATGCCAGTTGCAAGTCTGGGCGGAGCTAGGTTTGCTCTCACTCTGATTGATGATTTCCCCCGAAATGGTTGGTTGATCACTCTTAAGGACAAGAGTGAAGCTGCCAACATGGTAAAAGAGTGGATCACTGCAGTGGAACTACAATCCCCCCTGAGGGTGTGTAGTTTTCAATCAGATCGCGGTGGGGAATTCACTGGGTGTGCTTTGCAGGGTTTCTTTCGCCAGAAATGGATACGCCACAGGTTGACAGTCGCAAATTCTCCACAGGAGAATGGAGTTGCAGAACGTCGGAACAGAACACTGCAGGAAGTGGCAGAAGCCATGCTGTTTGACGCAGGGTTGCCACAGCGCTTTTGGGGGGAAGCGTGGAAAGCTGCAAGCTTCACGCTGAACCGCTCATACAGTTCTGTTGTAGGGAACATGCCCTATTTCCTGCTGCACAGTAAGAAGCCCAAGGTGCATTTTTTTCCATTTGTTTGGGTGCAAGGCTTGGGTTCTTGTGCCAAAGGCCCAACGCAGGAAGGGTGGCCCAAGGTCTTGGAAAATGATCTTTTGTGGGTATGAGCCTGGGACAAAGGGGTGGAGGTTTGCCTATCCAGAAGGCGATCAGTCCAGGATTCTAGTCAGCAGGAGTGCTGAGTTCTGTGAGCAGAGTGGGTGGACACGCATCCATGGGAATCCTGACATTCTCTCAGAGAGTCTGTTTGACTCTGCTGAGGAGGGAGAGGTAGATACTGAACCTGCTGCTGAGGATCTGGTCCCTGACCAGGAGCAGGAACAGGGAAGGGCATCTCCACAGGCTATTAAAAAAGAACCTCGGAGTGCACCTTCATCTCCCACCAGTCCAGTGCAGAAGTTCAGAAGACGCGGTAAGTCTGAGGTGGAGTCTTCTGATGACAAGGACGTACTACACTAGCTGGCCCCAGTGGGTCAGAGGAGGCACCTGAAGTAGTGCTAAGGCGTTCCACACACACGACTAAAGGTAAGTCACCCGAGAGGTTTGAGGTCATTAGTGTGTGGGTTGGTTTGGTGCAGTGCGAACCAGAGAGTTTTGAGGAAGTTCAACAGTTGCCTGAAGCAGAAGCCAGGAAATGGCAAGAGGCAATGGGAAAGGATTTGAACTCAATGAGGTCTTTAGGTGTGTTCTCCACCATGAAGCTGCCAGCAGGCAAGCAGGCCGTGAACTGTCGCTGGGTTTACAGGATTAAGCCCACAGCGACTGGAGAACCACAGTACAAGGCTAGGCTAGTGGCCAGAGGGTTCACGCAGCAGAAGGGGCTGCATTACACTGAAGTGTATGCTCCTACTTCCCGGAGTGAAACTGTGCATGCTTTTAACAGTAGCTGCACAAAGAGGTCATTATGTGGATCACTTTGATGTGGATGTTGCTTATTTGAACTCAGACCTGAAGGAGGATCTGTACATGCTACCTCCTCCAGGGTTTGAGGCCAATGAGCCAGATGTAGTGTGGAAGTTACATAAGTACATTTATGGCTTGAAACAATTGGCCAGTAATTGGAACATGTGTCTGAATGATGCTCTGCAGAGCATGGGTTGCCAGAGAAGTCTGGCAGACAGCTGCCTGTACCTGAAAGGGTCAGGAGAGACACAGGAGCTGGTCTTGGTGTTTCTGGATGACATCCTCCATGTGGCACAGACAGGGAAACAGGTGCAAGGTTTAAGCTCAAAAACCTTGATCCAGTGAAGGTTTACCTAGGTGTCCAGATAGATAGGTCTGAGTGTTGAATTGTTTCTTTAAATGTAAAGGTTCATCATTGTTCCACCCGATGTGTATGTCTTTAAGGGGCCAGAGCAAGGGCCAGAGCAAGATAACGAGACCCAGCTTTACAGCTGTGAAACATAGCAGGTGCTGCTGAGTTGTATTGATTAAGCTGTGTTGGCAATTGGGTGTAGTATATAAGGAGCAGCACCTAGCTCTCCCATTACCCTGGGGGATGGGTTGGTGGTTGGGTCATGTTTGTTTGTTAATGTATTTAGTGTATAAGGAGTTTTTGTTTTTCTTATTAAAACCTTGTTTAAGTTATTTTTTTGTCCCTTTTTAATGCATGGTCTCCCCAGCAAGCTCTCTGCAGCGCTACCATACCAACATCTTTGGTTATGGGCCCAGCTGCTGAGTGGATGACTGCATATTTTTGGACTCTGAGAAAGGTTTGAAAACTCCTTCTCCTGTTGGCGTAGTTCTGTGGGTCTGGAAGAGTTCCAGAATGGTTGACCGGGTTCCAGAAGCTTAGAAGGCTCTAGTCTTCACACAGCTAACAGATGAGAACTATAGTTTATGGTCTTTTCGGGTGGAGGTGCTTTTGACCTCTTGAGAAGTATGGACCTATGTAACCGATGACCCTCCTAACCCTGTAACTAATGCTTGGTCGAAAGGAGATGCAAAAGCCAGGGTGATAATTAATTTGGCAGTCAGCGACCAGCAAGTAGTCTATATAAGAAATAAGAAAACTGCCAAAGAAATGTGGGACAGTCTTGCAGCAGTGCATGTTGGAAAAGAGTCAGCTTCTGCATTGACGTTTTTCAAGCAGTTGTACCAGACGAAGTTGCAGCCTGGTGGTGATTTGGCAGCACACTTGAGATGCCTGGAGGCAATACGCTGCGAATTAATTCGAAGGGACATGGAGATACCTGATATTCAGTATGTTTTTATCATTCTTCCCTTAATGAGGACTTTGATGGTATAGCTAGCCAGATATCTGCCGTTCCACCAGCACAATTAACTGTGGAAGGGGTAACGGCAAGATTAATGGGCGAGTTGGATAGAAGGGAGGCTTGTGCCATAAGCACTCCTATTTCCAGAAAGAATGAGGAACGCCATATGCAAGCGTGTGGTGATCCGACTGCATTTAAAGCTGCCAAGCGTTGTTGGTTCTGCAATAAGCAAGGACATTTTGCAAAGGACTGCAGAGCCAAAAGAAAGCAAAGAACTCCCAAGACTGTTTCTGTTCGTCAGTCACGATCGTCAGCTCAGCAGCCGACATCGTACCGTAAAGACAGAAACGAGCAGCGAGCTTTTCACGCTCGCACAACAGATCGTAAAAGAATTAAAGGTGCCAAGTGGAATTATTTTATTGTGGACTCAGGAGCATCCCAGCACATTTGCAACGATCGAAGCTTGTTTATTTCTTTCGAAGAGGAAATTGGTAATGTACATTTAGCCAATTTGCAAGTCTTGCAGTCGCTTGGCAGGGGTACTGTTAAACTTGACTCTTTAAACATTACTATAGCGAACTGCATTTACTGCCCGTCAGTGGACAATTTATTGTCAGTAAGGTGTTTTGCTCGTCAAGGCATAACTGTGCGTTTCTTAAATTCAATGTGTGAGTTTTTTGATGGGAACAAACGTGTATTGTATGCCCGGGACTCTGATGGTTTATATAGACTGTATTTTCGCACCTACTCCCAATCTCCTATAAATTGCAGAGCAGCACAGTCAAGCCAGGGGTTGAGGAATGTAAGGCCAAATTCCGGGTGTGTCCATGAGGCACACAGATTTCTAGGGCATCTGAATTTTGCTGATGTAATTAAGACAAAGAATATTGTTAATGGCCTCAACTTAAAACCATGTAAATTCTTTATGCAATGTCTATCCTGTTGCAAGAATAAGATTAAGGTTGCACGCAAGGGTAGGTGCTCAGATAGGAAAGTAACTGAGCCATTTGAGCGTGTACATTGTGATTTAGTTGGGCCACTCCCACCATCATTAGGAGGTTCTAAGTACTGGCTTACCCTGATAGACCAGTATAGTAGATATTGTTGGACTTATGCAATAGCTGAGAAGTCCCAAGCATTTGAGAGGTACAAAGCTTTTTGCAACTGGGTAAAAACGCACTTTAACAAACCTATTAAGAACCTGTTTTCTGACCGGGGTGGGGAATTTGTTTCTGAGGATTTTGAGAATTTCCTGGAAGCGCAGGGGACTACTCATGAGTTATCATGCCCCCGAAGTCCCTGGCAAAATGGGCTTGTTGAAGTTGTGCAGCGTAACCTGCAGGCAGGGGTTAAAACTTATCTGCACGATGCTAATCTGCCCAAAGTCTTTTGGGCTGAAGCGCTCAATGCGTTTTGTTATGTTAGAAATCGCAGTTATCATTCTGGTTTAGATGTCACCCCCTATGAGAAGTTGTTTAAAAAACGCCCTAATCTGAAATACCTACGTATTTGGGGTTCGGATGTAATTATGCATTATCCCGCTAAGCAGAAATTGGGTGAGTTCAGGGAAAATTAATGGGCTACCAGCAGGGGGCGTACAGAATTTACGTCCCAGCAACTGGCAAATTTCATATTACCAGAAGCATGATACAAACTGTAAATTGGAATGGGGTTGCTGTTTTCCAAGATGCTAACGGTATAGATGATACTGAGGAAAAGAAAGCAGCAGCAGCAGGAAATGGTGCTTCTGAATTAATGGAAAAAGACAAAAAGCCTGTTGAATCTGATAATTTGCTTGATGATTTAAAGTCACAGGCACCCGAGGGGAGGTTAGATTCTCTTGAGTTTTCTGACCGTGAGCTTAGCCTACAGGCATCTCTTCAGTCTGACAGTGATGATTTACAACCTGAAACTAGTAGTTCACTTAGTCCCATTAAGTCTGAGGAGTCTGACTCTCCTTCCGGACTGAGACGTTCAGATAGAAAGAGACAGAAGCCACAACGTTTTGCAGATGAACATTTTAATACTGTGTATGCCAATAAGGCGGTTTTTGAGCCAAAAAGCTACAGTGACGTTCAGAATTTACCTAGGCACCAAGCTGTAAATTGGTATAAAGCTATGAACTCTGAAATAGCTTCTTTAAAAGAGCATAACACTTGGTCTCTTGTACCGCAAACCCCAGATATGAGACTTATTGATTCAAAATGGGTTTATAGAGTTAAAATGAATGACAAAAATGAAGTTGTAAGGTACAAGGCAAGATTAGTTGCTAGGGGTTTTCAACAAATTCCAGGCAAAGATTATGATTTGTGTTATTCACCAAGTGTAAAATATGAAACAGTTAAGCTTTTGTTAAAAGATGCATCACAACGTGGACATTGTTTATCACCTAGATATAAAAACTGCATATTTGTTTGCAGATTTAAAAGAACAAATTTTTATGCGTGTCCCTGAAGGCATAGATGCCGCTGAAGGTTTGGTATGCAAATTAAATAAATCCCTATATGGTCTGCACCAAAGTGGAAGGAATTGGCACCAAACTTTAGCAAAAGAATTGCTGGATATTGGTTTTTCACAAGGAAAGGCAGGCAATTGTGTGTTTATAAAGGAAAGGGCAAACTCTGTAACAAAAATATGTGTGTATGTAGATGACGTGTTAATTTCTACAAAAACTAAACAGGAATATGAACAGGTAGTAGCAGTTACAGAAGAAATTTGATGTGGAATGGTATCTGCAAGTATTTGCAGACCTACAGATGCAAGTAACACTACCAGTAAAAGTTTACCTTGATTCCCAGAGTGGACTCGCTATCCTGTGTTCAGAAACCAATACTAGAGTCTTAAGATTACGTTTGCAGTTTGTAAGGAAACTAATTGCTGATGAAATGATTGTATTTCAATATGTTCCAGGTGACAATCAAATTGCAGACATTTTTACTAAAGCTCTTCCAAAGGTTACACATGAAAGACATGTACAAAATATGCTTTGTTTTTGTTCCACAATGATGAACCGCAGGGGAAATGTTGAATTGTTTCTTTAAATGTAAAGGTTCATCATTGTTCCACTGGATGTGTATGTCTTTAAAAGGCCAGAGCAACGGCCAGAGCAAGATAACGAGACCCAGCTTTACAGCTGTGAAACATAGCAGGTGCTGCTGAGTTGTATTGATTAAGCTGTGTTGGCAATTGGGTGTAGTATATAAGGTGCAGCACCTAGCTCTCCCATTACCCTGGGAGATGGGTTGGTGGTTGGGTCATGTTTGTTTGTTGATGTATTTAGTGTATAAGGAGTTTTTGTTTTTCTTATTAAAACCTTGTTTAAGTTATTTTTGAGTCCCTTTTTAATGCATGGCCTCCCCAGCAAGCTCTCTGCAGCGCTACCATACTGCAAATAGCCAACACTGAGGATGGAAGCTTTTTGTTCAGTCAGAAAGGCAAGATTGAGAAGTTGCTTGAGAAGTTCAGGATGTCTGAATGTGCAGGGGTCAGAACACCCACGGAGACAAGCTACGTGAAAGACGCTTGGGGAATGTGCTGAGTTTGAAAACGCTGAGATCTTTCAGTCAGCTCTGGGTAGTTTGCTTTATCTCTCCCAGTGGAGCAGACCAGACATAGCATTTGCTACCAATCTGCTCAGCAGGGAGGCTACAAAGCCAAGTGAGTGTGCCTGGAATGGTATCAAGAGGGTGCTGCGTTACCTGCAAAATACCAAAGATTTCTGTCTCAAACTGTCAGCTGAGGGTGAAGCACAGCTCACGTGCTGGACTGACAGCGATTGGGCAAATCTTGGAGACAGGAAATCGGTGTCTGGGATGGTAGTGAAGTTTGGGGAATCTCTAGGTGGGTGGAAGTCCTAAAAGCAAAGTCTTATTGCACTTTGTTCGGTAGATTTATTGCTTTATTGTTCGGCGCCCAGCCACGCTTCCCCTGGGAGCCTCTGTAGCTTCTGTTTACGCAGTGTGGCTTTCGAGCAGTCGTAAAGCAGTTAGCAGAATTACACAGCGGTGCGTGTCGAAAGAGCAGTAAACAAGTCCCACACGTTTCTTCTGTCCTAATATCCCTTTATTTGCTCAAAAGTAGCATATTTACAATCAATAACAGCCATCAGAATCAAGTTGCATCTTCTCCCTCTGTTTGCAGCTACGCAACAAAAACTGCTTTCGCTTTTCACTCAGCTCACAGCATTCCAAGCTGCTTTTGTCACGTCCTGGCTTACTTCCCTTGTAAGTGCCTCCTCTCAGCCTCGAGACACAGAAGGTTAACCCTTCACTACACCCAACACCCCCTCTTGTCTCGCGCCTGAGGGGAGAATCGACCCTTGGTCGTCCCAAACCCAGACCTTCACAAAACTCGTGTCTTTGGAAGGTGAGTGGCTTCGTGAACCCATCAGCTAGGTTCTTGGCAGAGGGACAATATTTCAGCGCAACTAATCCCTCCTGAACACTCTGGCACACATTCCGAAAGCGAATGTCTAGGTGTTTAGTTCTGGCCTTGAACTGACCTGACTCTGCCAAAACGCAGGCATGGTTGATTGTCCTTGAAAACACGTATCGGCAGACAATCCACTTCGCAGAGTTCCTGCAGTAAGCAAGCATAGAACTCTATTTCTCTGCACATCTCTGAAAGAGCACTAAACTCAGCCTCAGTGGATGAGAGCGCTATAAGACTTTGCTTCTTGGACCTCCATCCAACTACTGAGTTCCCAAACTTCACCACTAGGCCAGACATAGACTTGCGATCCTCAAGATTAGCCCAATCCGAGTCCACAAAACAAGTCAGTTTGACTTCTCCTTGTGCTGGCAACCTAAGACAAAAGTCTTTGGTCTCCTGCAAATACCTCAGAACTCTCTTGATGCCATTCCAGGCTTGCACACTAGGGTTTGAAGCTTCCCTGCTGAGCAGATTGACGGCAAACGCTATATCAGGTCTGCTCCACTGGGACAAGTACAACAAACTCCCTAGGGCTGACTAAAACACTTCAGTATTTTCGAACGCAGCACGTTCTACTTGCTGGCTGTCCTTCACAAAACTAGTCTCCATAGGACTTCTCACTCCTGCACAATCACTCATCCTCATTTTCTGAAGCAATTGCTCAGTTTTACCTCTCTGGCTGAGCAAAAAGCTTCCATCCTGTGCACGCTCAACACTGACACCTAGATAGGTTTTGACAGCACCAAGCTGTTTAAGCTTGAATCGTTTACCTAGCTCTTTGGCAAACTTCTCCGCCTGTTCGTCTGTGTCTGAGAAAAACAAGTCATCAACCCAAATCTGCAAATACTCTTGTGTTGCCCCTGATCCTCTCAAATAAAAGCAACTATCAGCAACACTTCTCCTTAAACCTAGCTCTTCTAAGGCTTCATTCAGGCACATGTTCCAGTTTCTAGCAGATTGACGTAATCCATAGATGGATTTGTGCAATCTCCACACAACATCCTGCCTTGAGTTCTCAAACCCCGGAGGAGGAATCATGTACAGCTCCTCCTGGAGATCTGAGTTAAGGTAGGCAACATCCACATCAAAGTGGTTTACTTTCCAGCCTCTCTGTGCTGCACAAGCTAAAAGCGTTCTCAGAGTCTCCACTCGTGACGTTGGCGAATACACCTCCGTGAAGTGTATTCCCTTCCTCTGCGTAAATCCTCGAGCAACTAACCTGGCTTTATACTGCGGCTCTCCAGCATCCGTGGGTTTCAAGCGGTAAACCCACCTGGAACTCACAGCCTGCTTGCCCGGTGGCAACTCTGTGAGTGAGAACACACCTAGATCTTTCATGGACTTCATCTCTTTGTCCATTGCCCTGTGCCACTTGTCTGCTTCTTCCTCAGGTAAACTCTGAATATCCTCGAAGGATTCAGGTTCACATCTGGCTGAACCTACCCAGACGCCTGAAGCGTCGTACTGATCAGGAGGCCTCCTTGTCCTCGCTGATCTCCTCAGTGTGAATCCTGGTGACCCTACTGCTTCACTGGGTGCAGCTAAATCATCCTCAACTTCAGTGTCTTCCCCCTCTGACCTGCTGTGCCACTTGGGCCTTACAGCTGGTCCAGCAGGTGAAGAAGGCTCACTCTTTGGCTCAAACTTGACACTTGCCTGAGGAGGTGTTCTAGGTTCCCCCCTCTGAGGGATCCTGAGCTGTCCCTGCCTTGGACTCTGTCCCTGTGGTGGACCCTGTTGCTCTGGACCGTTGTCCCCAGCAACAAGTTTCTCTTCCTCCTCAACGTCTGAGTCATAGAACTGCTGTGGAATCATGTCTGGATTAGCGTGCAGACGTTTCCAACCGGCTTGCTCACAGAACTCAGCGCTATTGCTGATAACCAACCTAGACTGGTTTCCACTTGGGTACGCAAACCGCCAGGCCTTTGAGCCAGGCTCATACCCTTCTTCTGTGGAAAAAGGCACATTTACAGCAAACAAATTATCTTTAGACTGCACTGTGTACACGTGTTTCCCATCCTTGGAGAATTCACATTTGTCACCTGCAAAAGAGACATGAAAACCATCAATGACTAGATCATGCACACTTAACAAACAGTTAGTTAAACCGGGCACTGCATAAGCTTTGACTTCATGCTTAAGAAAGGGACAGAAGAAAAAGCCTGTCTCTGTTAGTCTTTTTCTGCTTCCATCCGCGATCATCACAAATTTCTCAGTTTTTACTGTCCTGCAATTTCTCAAAAGACCAGGAGATGGCACCAACGAGTTTGTGGCACCACTGTCGATTATTACAGTGAGAAAGTCGTGTTGTTGACATTCCTGGGTCGCCAGGGCAACAATCTCCTCGCTACCCCCCTCCTTGGGGCTTCTGCAGATGTTCTCTCTGGTTGTCACGGCAACAGACTCCCCCCGGCAGTTTTTGGAGAAAAAGGCGTCTCTGAGCTTTCACTGCTCACTGCCCCCCCACTGCTCACGGGGCCTCCAGGACGTTTTCCTGCACCCCCTCTGATGGGTAAAGGGCTCCCAACACTTGGTCTCTCTCCAGGTTCCTCACACAGACACGTTGCAGTATCCATACAGCTCCCAGGCTCAGCAAAAGCACCAGCAGCATTGCCAGCAACAGCAACAGCAACAGTCGCTTCGCCCCCCTGTGGGGGCTCCCAGCTCCTCCCAGCTGTGTATCGGCTCTCAAGAATGTGGCCGGCGCCATCTTGCCTCTCCCTTTCGGATGTAGCCACTTCTCGGCCCTTGCTTCCCACCCCAGCTCCACAAGCTTCTCGGAGTGCTAGCCAAGCGGCCCCCTGGCCTTCTTGCACCCAGGACAACTGGCACCAGTTGAGCATCCACATTTTCTGCCAAAAAAGCAAGCACACGCTTCTCAACTTCACTTTGCTCTGCAGCCCTCTTAGCCTCTGCTTTCCCAGCTGCATTCTGTGGGGGCTGGACTACGTCCCAAAGCTGCTCTCCCACCAGCAAAAGCTCCACTTGAAAGCTCCACTGCAACCAACTTTGGCTAGTCAGTTTCTGACACGGCAGTTTAAACTCAAAGCCATATCCATGGGGCTGAGCCATTGCCTCCCTTCCCTTCTGTTGGCCTTTGCAAGAGCAGCCGATAATAGTCACTCTGCAGCCAAACCGGGCACTCCGGACGACGTGGCTCCCAGCTCCCACTCCGTCAGCCTCCTCCGATCTGCCCTTTACTCTCTTTGAAGCCTTGGCAGTCGATCAAGCTGACGTTCAGTCCATTTTACAGTCTTCCAAGCCCTTTCTCACACGTTTCACGTTGACCCATAACCTTTGTTCGGTAGATTAATTGCTTTATTGTTCGGTGCCCAGCCACGCTTCCCCTGGGAGCCTCTGTAGCTTCTGTTGACGCAGTGTGGCTTTCGAGCGGTCGTAAAGCAATTAGCAGAATTACACAGCGGTGCGTGTCGAAAGAGCAGTAAACAAGTCCCACACGTTTCTTCTGTCCTAATATCCCTTTATTTGCTCAAAAGTAGCATATTTACAATCCATAACGGCCATCTGATTCAAGTTGCATCTTCTCCCTCTGTTTGCAGCTACGCAACAAAAACTGCTTTCACTTTTCACTCAGCTCACAGCATTCCAAGCTGCTTTCGTCACGTCCTGGCTTACTTCCCTTGTAAGCGCCTCCTCTCAGCCTCGAGACACAGAAGGTTAACCCTTCACTACACCCAACACACTTTCCTCTACTGAAGCTGAGTTCAGTGTGCCGTCAGAACTCTGTAGGGAACTAAAATTTTACCGGTGTTTGGTCTAAGAGATCTGTGGGGATTGTTGCCTGCCCATCACTGTTTGGGAGAACAATCAATGCTGTTTGAAGTTGGCAGAGTCTGGACAGTTTAAGTCCAGAACCAAACATTTGGACATACGTTTCCAGAATGTGTGTCAGAGTGTCCAGACAGGCTTGGTGAAGCTGAAGTACTGTCCAAGTCAGGAGAATCTGGCAGATGGGTTTACTAAACCTTTGAGCTTCCAGCGTCATGGGGAGTTCTGTGAATGGTTGTGTTTGGGGTAAGTGGTTGTACTTACAGTTCCCCCAGTGTACAGAATGAGGGAGTGTGAGGAGAATCAGAGCTTACAGGGTTAATAGTTCTATGTGTCGTCCTGCCCACTGGGAGGTGTGTTTTGTTCACATACGGGGAATGTTCTTTGTGTGTGAAGTTACTTTCGGTTTACATCTGATGAGAGGGCATTCCACAGGGCGGCCCCAACTACAGAGAAGGCCCTTTGCCTGGTTCCCTGTAACTTTGCTTCTCGCAGTGAGGGAACCACCAGAAGACCCTCAGAGGAGGACCTCAGTGTCCAGGCTGAATGATGAGGGAGGAGACGCTCCTTCAGGTATATTGGACCAAGGCCATTTAGGGCTTTAAAGTCAACACCAATACTTTGAATTGTACTGGGAAACACACTGGGAGCCAGTGAAGATCCTTTAGGATTGGTGTTATACGGTCCCGGCAGCTACTCCCAATCACCAGTTTAGCTGCTGCATTCTGGATTAGTTGTAGTTTCTGAGTCACCTTCAAAGGTAGCCCCATGTAGAGCGCATTGCAGTAGTCCAAGCGGGAGATAACCAGGGCACACACTACTTTGATGAGACAGTCTGAAGGTAGGTAGGGTCTCACCCGGCGTATCAGGTGGAGGTGTGGATCACCCTTGTTGATTCTAGGTAGCCTTAGGCAAGTCACTCTGCCTTGGCTCCCTAGCAACGTGGAGACAATAAAACTGATTTCTAACCTGTTTTAGGATTCCTGATATAATTTGCATGTGAAACACCAGCATTGTGCTTATACAATAATGTTATTAATGCAATTGCCTTCCCTCATTGCTGCAGGTGGAGCACACGGCAGTCTCGAGTAGCGGCGGCAGTGCCCAAGGGTTTGAGGCAGAGGGCACCATGGAAGAGGAACTCGAACCTACACTTAAGGAGCAGCCCTGCGAGCCAGACTGTGCTGAGAAGGCCTTGAAGGGCAGTGATGCCAACCCAGGCAAAGTTAGGGAGGGTGGACTCACAAGGCCAGAGAGCAGTGGCAGCCCGGACGGTGCACGGCTGTCTGCTAAGGAGGCGGCAGAGGTCTCCCCTGCTTTCCCAAAGGCTCTGGAGAGCGAGCATCCAGGGAAGGAGAAGAGCACCGCAGCTGCTGGCACAACCCTTACAGCTGCCACAAAGGCTGCCGCCACCATGGCCACCAACAGCTGCAGCACTTTGACCTCTGCCCCAGCCACCTTCACCTTGAAAAGCATCTGTTTCTCCACTTCTCAGGCCCTTGCTATGCAAAAAATGGCCCTCTCCTTCCCACCCGGAGCAGTCCTCACCCCCAGCCAGCCCCTGGTTTACCTCCCACCTCTTCCGAGCCTGCTCGGGGTCCCTTCTGCCCTTGCCCTGCCTGTCATGCCCTCCTTCCCACAAGACCCCTGCCTGCCTAGTCTTCTCTCCCCCTCTGAGCTCTGCTCTTACCCGTATGCCTTCTCCGTGGCTAGGCCTTTGGCCGCAGATCCCAAAGTGGCCCCTGTGGAGACAAGCCAGCTGAACTGCCCTGCCCCGTCAGGGGAGAGCAGCACCCCTGCGGTCACTGGACCCTCCTCTGCTGTCGATGGCTCGGACCTCTTGCCTAGCACGCCTGCCGCGGCAGGTGCCAGCACTGTGCCGCTGTCAGTCGCCACCAGTGTGCTTGCCAGGGTCCCGGCAGGCCCAGAACAGCTTCCCTTGGGCATCCTGGCCTCCATCTCCCCACTGAAATCCCCCCCACAGCTGGAGCGTGAGATGGTCTCCCTGGAATGCAGCGAGATGCCCCTTGACCTTTCCGCCAAGTCAAACCACCAGAAGCTGCCTCCTCCGAGCCAGCGAAAGATGGCCCTGATGCCTGTGTTGACCCCGGTGCACACCAGTGGCAAAGCACTGCTCATCACAGTCTTCTCCAAGCCTCAGTGGGTAGCTCAGGCCATTGGCGGCCCAGGCACCACATCGCCCTTAGTCATCTTCCCGGAGTTCCTCCGCAATGGGGAGCAGGGCTCCTGGGTGAAGAACTCGACCACCCTCATCAGCACCATCACAGGCACCTACGTTGGGGTGGCCAACCCAGTCCCAGCTTCCGTGCTGCTGGGGAAGGATTCTGGCACCGGCCTTGGCAGGGACTCCCGCCATCTCGCCAAGCAGGAGCTCATTTCCATTGTTGACCAGGGAGAGCCTCGCAGTGGTGGGCTGCCTCCCGAGAAGAAGAGTGGTGGAGAGGGGCTGCCTGACCCCGCAAGGCAGCTCCTTCGTGCCTGGGGTGTCCCAGGGGCCCAGTTGCACCCTTCAAAGCAGCTTGCCATTTGGAGCCCCAGCCAGGGAAGCATTTACCCTCGGTGCTCAGTCAAGGGGAAGCCTGCCAGCCCCCAGCTGCTGCCCTTGGGGTGGTCGCCTTACCATCAGGGCCCTCTGCTTTCCATCGGCATCTTGGCAGCCGGGCAGCTGTGCCCGAATCAAGTTGCCCCCTGCAAGCCAGTTGGTGCAGGTGAGCTGGCCACGTTCCCTGGTGTGCAGCTGATAGAGTCCTCCACAGTGGTCCAGAAAGCCCCCGAAGCTCCCTCTCAGGGCAAGGGTTGTAAGGCAGCCTTGCTGAACACTGCCAGCCCTTTGTGCATCTCACCAGCTCTTCAGACCAGTCTCCCAGACACAAGGGGTTCCGAGGGTCTCATTCCAAAATACGACTCTGACAGACTCGAGGCTGACTCAGCAGCAGAGGCCACCCCGCAGCCCAAAGCTCCCCCAGAGGGCTGTAGCCGCAAGTGCCCTGGGGACGCCAAGCCTAAAAACCAGGTCTTGGCTGCCTACCTATCTCACGGCCTTTCCTTAGCTAGCCAGCCAAGTGTGCGGACGACCTCTGAGACGCCTCTCCCAGGGAGCAAGAGCAAGGACTGGAAGTGCAGCAACGCACCTCGGGATCAGCTGGCGGCAGAAGTCCCTCTCCGCAGTGTGCACCAGGTTGATCTCAGCCGCGTGAAGAAGGAACGAGTGGAGCCAGAGGTGCTGATCACCTCTGCCGCTTGTCTGCATGCTGGGGCTGCCTCGAGAAGCCCTCCAAAAGCCAAGCTCAAGGGGGTGGCCCACATTGAAGTGGAGGAGGGCTTCCCCTGCAAGTCCAAGCGGCAGCATGACGGGCCAGACCGCCTGACCCACAAGAAGCAGAAGTGCAGGGGCAGTGAGGAATCTCAGGCTCCCTGCAAATCGGACAGCCAGAACCTGCACACCCGCAAGGTGAGTGACTTGCCCTGATGTGAAAACAGGGCTCACACCCAGTGTTTCCTGGAGCAGCATCTGAGGGGTGGCATGGGTGAGATTGGGCTGATGGTTAGGGAGTCCTCCGGGAGGACTAGTTTCTTGCTGAGGACAAGGAAAAAGATGAACTAGGATTGAAAGATGTTGGAAGTAAGCTCCTGTAGTGCTGATGGAGTTCCTGCAGAGCTGCTTCCAATACTACAGGAAGGAGAGAATCTTGCCTGGACAGCAGACAGAACCAGGAATTTCGTGTGATACCACTGTGCATCTTAAATTATTTTGTGACTCTCCCTCATGAGGAGTCCTTGTTTGTTGCATGAGAGCACTATTAGGATCAGTGTCCATTGTTTACACGAATGTCCTGGTTGGTTATTTTTTATTCAGTTTCTTATTTTCGCTGTATCTTACCTAAAAGACAGAACGGATCCAGGGAAAATAATTACATGACGAGATGCCTCTGAGATTACATTTTAAAATGTAGTTTGTCCTCTATACTTTAAAAAAATGTAGCCAGGTTGAATCTCTGTGTTGGAGGTGAAGCTGATGTGTGAATCCCAGATGTGGTCTTGGAAGCGTTTCTGGTTTTGTCTGGTGGTTCCAGCCTTACCAGAATGCCTTGAGCTTTCCCCTGTGTTAGACTTCACTTGCATCAGAGGTTGTTTTGTGCAGCTAGATGGAGCATGTGACATCAGAAGAGGCTCAGAGGCACTTGGTTGTGTCATATGGCTTAGGGCAGGTCTGTTTTAATTGCCCCAAGTGCGTTCCCTGTTGCCAGCAGCTGCTTGATTGAGACACAGCCATTAAGAAGCCCTGGCTTCTGATTCCTTTCAGAGTTCAGTTCAAAGTGGCCCGTGCTGATCATTTTAAAGCTCCTTCATGGCTTGGAACCCAGATTATCTCTTAGACTGTCTTCCTCCATACCACTGTGACTGAAGTTCACTTCTGTACCCTTTCTGAGGGTGACCTGCACTTCAAAGGCTAGGTGAGTGGCAATAAGGGCAGTGAGAGACCTTTTCAGGTATTCCCCTGTGTGTTTGTGTGTGTGTGTGTGTGTACATACATACACACACACACACACACACATATATATATATACACACACACACATATATACACATACATACACACACACACACACATATATATATATATATATATATATATATATATATATATATATGTAGTAAAGGTAAAGGTACCCCTGCCCGTACGGGCCAGTCGTGTCCGACTCTAGGGTTGCGCGCTGTAATGGGTTTAGGGGTTGCTCGTGCGTAAGTTGCCGCCACTCCTGGCTAGGTTACCTGGTTAACCCTTTCTGACTGAACAGCCTCCAGCATCGTGACTGTCTCAGTCGCTGGCAGAATCCGTCAGTGGGCGTTTCTTAAACCTTTTCCAGCATAAAAGTTGTTTGACGCCAAGTCTCCTCCTACTCTCCCTGCGCGGAAGTCTTCTGCGCAGGGAGGGTGTGGGCAGCGGAGTACCCGTACTCTCTCCGCTGGTCTCCAGCGAAGAGTCTTGGAGCCTCCTCCCCGATTCCCCCACCTGCCCCCCTTCTTCACTGGTGTTACGCTGATTTCCTTCTCCAGCAGATGGGCTGCCTCTCTCCCTACTGGGACCCTCTCCTGCATCCTTTTGGAGCCTTCCCTCCGCCTCTAGCTCCAATGGCAGTTCCCTGACATCCACCTCCCCCCCAGGACCCCCTCCGCCCCCGGCCCGACCTTCAGATCCAACCTCGTCCCTTTCCTCGGCCGACGATGCGGGGAAGCCCCTGAAGGAGCTGTCGCTCTCCTCTGAGGATTCAAAACCCGCTTCCCACCCGCTCCGATATCTTGCCGCGGGGTGGGCCTCCCAGTCTGATTCTTCTCCCTCTGACATTTCCCCTCCTTCCTCTTCGGAGGCAGGAAAACCCACAAATTCCTCCTCGTCGTCTGTGGTTCCAAATTCTTCCTCCCAGAATCTCGCTAGTGGTTTTGGTTTGTCTGGGAACAGGCTGTGGAATTCTTCCACTAGATACCCATCATTGACCGCCTCAGCGGGGACCCAAGTGTTTTCTGACTCGGGTTCTCCTTCCCAAGCCACTAAGTACTCCACCTGGCGCCCTCGCCACCTAGAATCGAGTATTTCCGTGGCTTGGTGGTGGAGTTCCCTCTCCTCTACCCGCGGGTGGGCGGTGACTCCTCCCTCCCGCCCCGGGAATTCCCGCCCCTCCCTGTACGGTGAGAGTAGGGACCTATGGAACACCGGATGTATCTTCATGCTGTCAGGCAACTTGAGCTTGAATGCCACAGGGTTCACCTGCTGTGTTACCTCAAAGGGTCCCAGCCGCCTTGGCTGCAACTTCTTGCACCCTCCCTTTAGGGGCAACCCTTGGGTTGACAACCACACTCGGTCTCCCACCCGTATGGCATCCCCCTCCCGACAGTGCTTGTCTGCTTGCCTCTTATAAACTTCCTTGGCCCACTCCAAGTTCATCTTGAGTTGCTGGTGCAATGCCTCCATTTCTTCCACAAACTGCTCGGCCGCAGGTACACTTCACCCTTTCTCCCCCCTCCCCAGGAAGGCCCTGGGGTGACACCCATAATTGGCCATGAACGGGCTCATGCCCGTGGACACATGTTCAGCGTTATTGTACACAAATTCAGCCAGCGCTAGTTTCTCTACCCAATCGTTCTGTCTCTCGCTGACGTAGCAGCGTAGGTATTGCTGGAGTATACTGTTCGCTCTTTCTGCTTGCCCGTTGGTTTTCGGGTGTCGCGCCGTCGAGAAGCCCACTTCGACCTGTAGCAAGCTCATGAGCTTCCTCCAGAATCGTGAAGTAAATTGTTTTCCGCGATCTGAGACGACCCTCGAGGGCGTCCCATGCAACCTGAAGATGTGATGCACAAACAACTTGGCTGTCTCCTCTGCCGTCACGGCATGTGAGCAAGCTATGAAATGGCACATTTTCATCAGTAGATCGACTACTACCATGACTGCTGTCTTTCCCCTGGACTTGGGCAAATCTGTCATAAAATCAATGGACACCACCTCCCAGGGTCTTCCCGGCGTGGGTAAGGGTTCCAGTAGCCCTGCGGGGGGCAGCCCTCTCCCCCTTTGCCCTTTGGCAGCGGTCGCACCCCCGTACATATTCCCGTACATCCTCCCTCACCCTTGGCCACCAGAACTGCCTGGTGACGAGCATCATGGTTTTGTGCTGTCCAAAGTGCCCAGCTGTGGGGTTGTCGTGGAGTTGTTTGAGTACCTTCCCCCTCAGGGTCTCCCCCGGTACATACAGCGCCCCCTTATAGTACAGCACCCCTTCTTTTTCCTCAAAACCCCCATGGTTTTCTCTTCCGTCTCGGAGTTCCCTGATTTTACTTTGGGCGAACATGTCGTTTCTAGTAAGCCCGGCCAGTTCTCGTTTCCCAACCAAGGCTCCCCCATCGGTCCTCAGGGATCACGTGTCGTATCTCCGGCGGTCCCTCCCCTTCCATGTACTCTGGCTTCCGGGAGAGAGCATCTGCTCTTACGTTTTCCTCTCCCGACACATATCAGATCTCAAAGGAAAACTTGGAGAACTCCTGTGCCCATCTAATCTGTCTCTGGTTGAGTACTCGCGTGGTCCTCCAGTATTCCAAGTTCTTGTGATCAGTACAAACCTGGATCTTGTGCTGCGCCCCTATTAACAGATGTCTCCGTCGGCGAAACGCCACATAGATCGCAAGCAGTTCGCGGTCATACAACGTATAGTTTTGCTCCGACTTGCTCAGCTTCCTCGAGAAAAAGGCACACGGCTTCCATTCCTGCTTGCTCCTCCCTGGCTGCAAAAGTACCGCCCCAATGGCTCTGTCGGACGCGTCGGTCTCTAGCCTCATGGGTTTCTCCAGATCAACGAGTAGGAGCTGCTCTTCCGAAGCGAACGCCTTCTTCAGTCTTTCAAAGGATTGCTGGGCACTTTCTGTCCAGGCGAACTTCCTTTTGCTACTGAGACAATCTGTGATGGGCGCCGTTAAGTGGGCGAAGTTTTTCCCCTGCCTCACCCGTGTTAAAATGTCGTCAATCCTGGGCATTGGGAAGGTCACGGGTTCAGATACCAAGTTTAGGGCCCGGTAGTCCACGACCAGCCTGGGCTGGTTAGTCCCTCTTTTGTCCACAAAGAACACCGGACTGCCCCCCACCGCCTTTGATTCTCTTATGAACCCCCTCTTCAGGTTCTTGTCAATAAACTGCCGTAACTCCTGCATCTCCCTGTCCAACATGGCATACAGCTTACCCACCGGCAGCTGAGCCCCTGGGATTAAGTTGATTTGGCAGTCAAAGGGCCTATGGGGGGGTAGTCTGTCCGCCTCCTTCTCGCTGAAGACTTCCTTTAGGTCAGCGTATGGTGGTGGCACCTCTCCTTTGTTTCCACCGCCAGCCCAGCCACCCTGGCCACTGTCCTTCTTGGGGTTCCCCCCCCCCAGACAGTGTTCCAAACAGTAAGCTGACCCAAAGGTGACTGACCGCTGATGCCATGACACTACTGGATCATGCAGTGCCAGCCAGCTCATTCCCAGTATTATTGGGGGTCCTGCCAGTTTGGCCACATGAAAGGCAATGGTCTCCGTGTGCCTGGAAACCCTCATTCGCATTGGCGGGGTCTGGTGTGTCACTTCCCTCCCAGAAGTTCCCTGCCATCGATGGTGGTCACTTGCAAGGGAAAATCCAGGGGTAGCAAGTCTATTTGGTGCTCCAAAGCGAAGTCCCTGCTAAAGAAATTGCAGGAGCTGCCCAAATCCAGCAGCCCCTCAACCTTGACTGGGTGCCCATTCGGGAGTTCTACCACTGCTATGGATATCGCTGCCCTGGGGGGGTCAGGCTGGGGCACTTCTATTGGTTGCTGGCCTGGCTGCTGGCCCCTTTGGTTGGCAGCCAGGCACTGTCGTTTCCCTGCGCCTGCCCTTCGTCCCCCTTCTCCTCACAGCCAGCAGCCCCCACCATCCCTTGCCAGGCCTTTCTTTGAGGGCGGACCCTTGCAAAATGTCCCGGCCGTTGGCAGAGGAAACACTTCTTGGTGGTTTTCCACTCCTTCCCCTCCCTCTTGCGACCTTCACTGGAGTTTGAAACCTCGCGCGTGTTAGGATATTTCCGTTCCACCTTAAAAGGGAGCAGGCTTTGTGAGTCAGAGTCTGCATATTTCCTGTTCACAGGATGTTTATGTTTTCTGTTGCTTTCGTTCTCTCTGTGTCGCAGACACTAAAGCAGTCAGTCATGTTTTTCTGTGTTCTGATCAACGCTGAATAAACTTGTAAATAATGCTCTCCTGAGTGCAACTTTTGGCTGTGCTAATTGCTGATAGAGTGTGCATGAGCTCTGGAATGTCTACAAGATATTTTCTAGAAACTCATGTCGCTGCGTGCCTACGGGAGGTCGATGGATCGTCCGGCAGACGGCTTGGGGGCCATGATGGACTTTATCTCCCTGGCAGTATCCCAACAACAGGTTATGGGCCCAGATTCACAGCACTTACAGGAGAGTAAGACTGTGACAGACTGCTGAAAGGTATGTGGAAGAAAAGCGAAAGTGAGGCTTTTCTGTTTACCGCGGCAAGGGCCTTTGAACTCCGGCAGATTAATGGATCTGGGAGCTGCGCCAGAGCATTCGTGAGTAATGGGCTGCTGAGATAAGGGGTCTTTGAAGTGAATAAGACTCACGGCTCAAGTAAAAGGCTGAGATGGATCTTTTACAATCCTCAGAAGCTGCTCCGTCTCCACCAAAGCTAAATGGCCACAACTATCAGACCTGGGCAAGGTACTGTGAGGGCCAGATGAGAAAGCTTGGAGTGTGTATGAAATTGGGCAAATCTCCAGGGCCAGATGGACTAACTGCAAAGTACTACAAAACTCTGAAAGAATGGTTATTGCAACCGTTGAAAGAACTTTGCAATGAAATACTACGGGGAGGAAAAGCACCCGAGTCGTGGAAAGAAGCATACATTACACTTATACCAAAAACTGAAGTGGAGAAGACACAGTTGAAGAACTACCGTCCCATATCCCTACTAAATGTGGATTACAAAATTTTTACGGAAATTATGGCTAAAAGATTAAAAAATGTATTGGTAAAAGAGATCCATAAAGACCAGGCGGGCTTTCTCCTGGGAGACATTTGTCAGATAATACTAGGAATATTATTAATATTCTGGAAAAATTGCAAGTTAATATCAATACTAAAGCTGTTTTAATATTTGTAGACGCAGAGAAAGCGTTTGACAATATTTCTTGGAGTTTTATGAAGAAAAATTTGCAGGGGATGGGGGTAGGTCAAAGTTTTGAAAATGGTATAGGTGCAATTTATTCAGAACAAAAAGCCAAGCTTATTGTGAATAATGTAGTTACAGAAGAATTTAAGATAGAGAAAGGAACAAGACAGGGTTGCCCAATCTCCCCATTGCTTTTTATATCGGTCCTGGAGGTTTTGCTCAATAAGATCAGAAAAGACCAATTGGTTAAAGGTATACAACTCGGAGCTAAACAGTACAAATTGAAAGCTTTTGCTGATGACTTAGTTTTGACACTACAGGAGCCAGAAGCTAGCACAAAAAGAGTATTACAATTAATCCAAGAATTTGGTCAAGTAGCAGGTTTCAAATTAAACAAGATGAAAACTAAGGTATTAGAGAAAACCTTACAGAGATTGAGAAGGAGAGGTTTCAGAAAGAGACAGGATTAACAATTGTTAATAAAGTGAAATATCTAGGGGTGAATATGACTGCCAAAAATGTGAATCTGTTTAAAGATAATTATGAAAAATGTTGGTTAGAAGTGAAGAAGGATTTAGAAATATGGTCAAAATTGAAGTTATCATTGTTAGGCCGAATTGCAGCGATAAAGATGAATGTATTGCCTAGAATGTTGTTTTTGTTTCAAACATTACAAATTGTGGACAAAATGGACTGTTTCAAGAGGTGGCAAAGAGATATTTCTAAATTTATCTGGCAGGGCAAAAAACCTAGAATAAAATTTAAGATATTAACAGATGCGAAGGAAAGAGGGGATTTGCCCTGCCAGATCTTAAACTTTACTATGAATCAGCCGCCTTTTGTTGGCTGAAAGATTGGCTACTTCTTGAAAATGTGGACATTTTAGATCTAGAAGGTTTTGATAATGTGTTTGAATAGCATGCATATTTATGGTATGACAAAGTTAAAGCGCATAAGGCCTTTAAGAATCATATTGTCAGGAAAGCATTGTTTAATGTCTGGGTGAGATATAAGGATCTGTTGGAAAGTAAAACACCAAGGTGGCTGTCACCAATGGAGGCAAAGGCATTGAAAAAAACAGATATGGAGACAAACTGGCCAAAATATTGTGAAATTTTAGAACAAGTTGGAGATAAATTAAAATTGCAGAGCTTTGATAAATTAAAAACTAAAGTTCGAGATTGGCTTCACTACTATCAAATAAGGGAGGTTTTAACCTAGATAAAAAGATTGGTTTCCAGGAGGAAAAATCTAAACTGGAAACGGAATTGTTAGAACCTAAAACTAAAAATTTGTCGAGAATGTATAATCTGCTGTTGAAATGGTTAAATCTGCGATGATTAAATGGGCACAAGATGTGGGGCATAATATCATGTTTGCTGACTGGGAACGGTTATGGACCACAGGTATGAAATTTACGGCTTGTAACGCCTTAAGAGAAAATATAATGAAAATGATATATAGGTGGTACTTGACCCCAGTCAAGCTAGCAAAAATCTATCATTTGCCTGATAATAAATGTTGGAAATGTAAAGAAAATGAAGGTACTTTTTTTTTCACCTTTGGTGGACGTGCCCAAAGATCAAGGCCTTCTGGGAAATGATATATAATGAATTAAAAAAGGTATTGAAATACACTTTTGTGAAGAAACCAGAGGCTTTCCTCTTGGGCATGGTCGGCCAATTGGTGAGAAGGGAAGACAGGAATTTTTTATGTATGCGACAGCAGCGGCAAGAATACTCATTGGGAAATACTGGAAGACACAAGAATTGCCTACCCGAGAAGAATGGCAGAGGAAAGTGATGGACTATATGGAACTGGCTGAGATGACCGGCAGAATTCGAGATCAGGAAGAAGGGTTGATGGAAGAAGACTGGAAAAAATTTAAAATATATCTTCAGAAACATTGCAATATAAAAGAATGTTAGAAAAAGGTTGGAGAAGAATATTAGACCGTATTGGCAGACAGGGTATAATGGAATAAGTAAATATGAAGTGTAAAATGAGGATAGAGGAGAATTAAATACTTTCGAATGTTAAAATAAGTAAAAGAAAAGAAGGTTAGAAGGATTTGCTGGAGATACGATTTAAACTAGAATACAAAGCAGGGAGGTGAGAGGAAGTCATGGAAATAAGTAAATGGGAAAATGGTTTGTAATGGTCAAATATGTTTTTTGTTAATTTTTTTTTTTTTACTGAGATTTTCTGTTTTTCTTATTCCTTTTTTATTGTCTGTTTTTTATAAGATGTATGTGGTTTGTGTTTCTCTCTTTCTATACTTTTTCTTTTTTTGTAACTATAAAATTGGAATAAATATTCTTTAAAAAAAAAAAGAGAAAGCTTGGAGTGTGGAATACCGTTTCTGAGGACCCCCCAGCCCCTGTGACAGCTGAATGGACGGCACAGGACTCAAGAGCCATGGGGATAATTTTGCTCTCAGTAGCTCCTGAAGAGTTAATCACCCTGGCTGGCAAGGCCAGTGCCCGTGAGATGTGGGACGGGCTTAGAGCCTGTCATCTCCGACAAGAGGCTGGGTCTGTGTTGCTTTATTTCAGAAAGCTGCACAGGAAGCGTTTGGAGCCAGGGGAAGACCTTAGAGTCCACGTTTTACATTTGCAGCATCTCAGACAGGAATTGACTCAGAGAGGTTTCAATATGCCTGAGTCACTGTTTGCAATTCTCATCCTGGACTCCCTGGATGAAAGCTACCATGCCGTGGCAAGTCAGCTGGCGACCCTCCCTGCGCAAGACCTCACTGCTACAAAGGTCTTGGCGACTTTGCAAAACGAATACGATAGAAGGAATGCAGCTGAGTCGGCTTGTGCGCTCCAGGGGAGCAATGTGGGACAGCATTCCAGCCTCCAGGGGGAGCCAAAGCGTTGGCAGCTGTGAAGTGCTGGAACTGTGGGACCCAAGGTCACACTCAGAAGTTTTGTCCAAAGACTGGAAATAAACAAAGGAAGAAGCCAGCAGATGGCCAGAAGCAGAGGGAGGGTGAAGAGCCCATGCCGGTGGAAAACAACGTTTTGTTTGCTGGCACAGCTTCACCAAAGGCTAAAGGCAAGTCTGAAGGCCAGGAGCAGGGGGGCAAGCTGCAAAAGCCCACGCCGGTGGAAAACAAGGTTTTGCTTGCTGCAAAGGCTGCTCCAAAGGCCAAGGCCAGGTTTGTTGTTGATTCAGGCTGTACCCGCCATGTCTCAAAAGACCGCCATCTCTTTATCTCCTTCAAACCTCAAGAAGGTGAGATCCACCTGGCTGATGGAAAGACGTTGCGAATCGCAGGAGAAGGGACTGTGAAACTGGCAAGTCTGCACACTACCATCAAAGATGTACTGTATGTTCCAGGCGCTGCAGACAATTTGCTCAGTGTCCCACAGTTGACTGGGCGTGGTTTTGAGATTTCCTTCAAGAGGAGCGTCTGTGTCATCAGAAAAGGCAAAGAGGACATTTTGCATGCAAAGTTTATGGATGGCTTGTTCTGTATAACTTATGACGACAATGGTGCTGTTGTGTCTAATGTTGATTCTTGTAGTGTTGCACAAACTAACAAAGTTCTTCATGCAGGATGCATTCACGATGCACACAGAAGGTTTTGCCACCTCTCTTGGAAGGCACTGGCCAAGATGCCAGAGATGGTTGAGGGTTTGAACATCAAACCCTGTAAGTTTCACATGAAATGTGTATCTTGTGCAGAGAACAAGGTGAAGGTTGCTCCAAAAGGCAAGGAGTCTAGCAGGCAGGCTTCCAAACCCTACCAGCTAGTGCACGCAGACCTGGTTGGTCCACTTGCGCCCTCTTTGGGTGGAGCAAGGTACTTCATGGTTCTAATTGATTCTTTTTCCAGGTACATTCATGTGTTTATGCTCGAGCAGAAATCGCAAGCGTTTCCTAAGTTCAAGGCATTCTGTGCTTGGTTGGAGAATGTTCATGGTAAACGCATTGGCTGTTTGTTTACTGATCGAGGCGGGGAGTTCACTTCTCAGCAGTTTGAAGCTTTCCTGACTGAGAAGGGAATCCAGCATGACTTGTCAACGCCTAGATCGCCATGGATGAATGGGCTTGCGGAGCGAGCAAATCAAACGTTGCTGCAAGGAATGAAAACATTGTTGCATGATGCCAATCTTCCTGATAAGTTTTGGGGGGAGGCTCTGTCGAATTTTGTTTACACTTTTAATCGTAGGTTGTCATCACCTATTGGTTGTACCCCCTATGAGAAGATGTTTGGTAAGAAACCCAACATCAAGCACATGAGAATCTTTGGTTCTGACATGTGGGTACACACCCCACAGAGCAACAAGCTTGGGAAGCGTGGGGCACATGGTTTGTTCATGGGGTACAAAAAAGGAGCATACAGGGTATGGATGACTGACTCTAAGTCCATTAAGTTCACAAAGAGTGTTGAGTACAATCCTAAGTGGGGGGAAAATGTGGGAATTTTCCAGAGTTACCCAGAGGAGGATGAAGGTGATGTGAAAGAAGCAGCTAAAGCTGAGGAAGCTGCTGAGGATGATGATGACGATGATGATCAGAGTTCGGATTCCAGTTCAGTGGGCGGCGCTGCTGCTGATGTCAGTGACGACACAGCAGACTACAAGAGCGCAAAGGCCTCAGTCAGACCATCTGATGCGTCTGACAATGAACTGGAAGAACCACTGTTCACCATTGGTCACTTTTCTCCTAAGAAGGAGGAGATGAGTCCAGAAGACTTGCGTCTAGTACGCAGATCTGAAAGAGCCACAAAGGGCAGACCTCCAAAGAGATTTGCTGATGAGTTTGCTAAGACGGCAACTGCTGTTCTTAGTAGCTCAGAGAAGGTGTGGGAACCTTCAAGCTTCAAAGAGGTTCAGGAGTTAACCTCTAAAGATGCTGAGCCTTGGCTTAATGCCATGAAGGCTGAAGTTGATTCCTTGAATAGGAACCAAACTTGGGAACTGGTACCGGTAGTCCCAGGAATGAGACTGGTTGGCAGCAAATGGGTCTTCAAGGCCAAGACAGACCAGAATGGCAAGGTAGTCAGACACAAAGCCAGATTGGTTGCCAGAGGTTTTCACAGGTACCAGGACAGGATTACCACGAGACCTACTCTCCCACAGTCAAGTATGAGAGCATTCGGCTGATGCTCAAGATCGCTGCGGAGGAGAAACTGCATGTTTCCCATCATGACATTAATACAGCTTTTTTGTACGGGATTTTGGGGGAGGAGCTGTTTATGCTTCCACCTGATGGAATGCAGATACAGAAGGGAATGGTCTGTAAACTGCGGAAATCCTTATATGGTCTCAAGCAGAGTGCCAGGTGTTGGAACACAAAGCTCACTGAGACATTGCTTTCTCTAGGTTTTCACCAGGGCAAAGCTGATCCATGTGTGTTTGTCAAGGAGGAGGGGCAAAAAAACCTGTATTGTTTATGTTTTGTTGATGATCTTATGATGTTTTGGAAGAATCAGGCTTTCTACCAAAGCACCCTAGCTCAGCTGAAGGAGCACTTTGACATGAAGGATCTTGGTGAGGTATCCAACTATCTTTCTCTGCAGGTGGAGAGGGACCAAGCAGGTAATTTTCTGGTACACCAAACATAGAAAATTGCTGATGTATTAACCAGGTTGAATTTGGTTGATGCAAACCCAGCAGACACACCGATGGTGACAGGTTACCAGGTAGACAGTACTGCTGAAGCGTTTTCTGACACAACGCTGTACAGATGCATTCTAGGCAAGTTGAATTTCATTGCTAGATGCTCAAGACCTGACGTAGCTGTAAGCTGTAACCTGCTTAGCAGACATGCTAACAATCCTACTGTTCAGGATTGGAAAGCTCTGAAGCGCATAGCCCGCTATTTGAAAGGGACTTTGCACTACAGGCTGAGGTTCACCAGTCAGAAGACTGGAGGTCTTGAAATCTTTGCAGATGCAAGTTTTGGAAGTGACACCACGGATGGTACAAGCACTTCTGGAGTATGCTACATGTACAATCACTGCCTGTTTGACTGGTTGTGCAAAAGGCAGACGACAGTGAGCCTAAGTTCCTGTGAAGCAGAACTCAATGCTCTGTCATTTTCACTCATGGATTGTGAATGGTTGATGCAACTGTTTAAGGACATCAGAGTTTCTGTGAAATGTCCTGTACAAGTGTATCAAGACAATAGATCGTGTTTGGCTTTGCTGAACTCGGAGAGTTGCAAGCAAAGAACCAAGTCCTTGCAGATTAAGCTACATCGTGCAAGAGAGTGTATTCAGAAAGGACTCATTGAGGTGTCCTACATGGCAGGAAACGAAATTCCTGCTGATCTGTTGTCTAAGGTTGTTAACAGAGAACAACTAAAGGTTTACGTACAAAGGTTGCAATTGGGTTGAACCACAGGTACTACAGGTTACACGGAAAGGGGGAGGATGTTAGGATATTTCCGTTCCACCTTAAAAGGGAGCAGGCTTTGTGAGTCAGAGTCTGCGTATTTCCTGTTCACAGGATGTTTATGGTTTTCTGTTGCTTTCGTTTTCTCTCTGTGTCGCAGACACTAAAGCAGTCAGTCATGTTTTTCTGTGTTCTGATCAACGCTGAATAAACTTGTAAATAATGCTCTCCTGAGTGCAACTTTTGGCTGTGCTAATTGCTGATAGAGTGTGCATGAGCTCTGGAATGTGTACAAGATATTTTCTAGAAACTCATGTCGCTGCATGCCTACGGGAGGTCAATGGATCGTCCGGCAGACGGCTTGGGGGCCATGATGGACTTTATCTCCCTGGCAGTATCCCAACAGCGCGCGCGCGCGCCACCTATTTCCATTGGCTCAGCCTCCTGGGAAAGCTGCCTTGGTATTTCAGGAATGCGGTAGTCATGGCAACGTTCCCCTCTCACTTCGCGTTTCTCCTGAGCCCGCGCTTCCTGCCTCACTCCAATCGCAAGCACAGCCTTGGTCAGCTGATCCATCGACTGCGGGCGGGGCGCGCGGGACAGCTCCTCCTTCACCGTTGGGGACAACCCCTCCTCAAACAACATTTGAATAGGTTCAGAGTCCAGATCCCACCCGAGACGGTGGACCAACATGGCAAAGCGCGACCAGTAGTCTCTAACTGACTGGCTCTCCTGCTTGCACCCCATCAGTTCTCGCCGACTTCACTGGAATACATCACATCCATCGCCTGAAAGAATTTAAGGTCCTTCAAGGCATGATTTTGCGTCACCATAAGGGGCCTAATCCATTCCCTTGCCCCATCCTCCAGATGCCCCACAACATAGGCCACCCGTTGCTCCTCGTTAGCAAAGTCATCATGCTGCAGTTCCAAAGCGTACTCTATTTCCGTTCGGAACGCATTGTAGTCCTGGGGTTTCCCCCCAAACTTGTGTACCAGCCCCGGTACCTTCCTTGCGATGGGGGTGGGTCTGACCTGAGCATCCTGAGCTCGTCTTTCGTCCAACCGCGCTGTCAGGAGAGCTACATGCTGTTCCAAATCTCGGTTTCTCTCTACCAGACCTTGCACTGCAGCTGCTTGCTCCGTCTCTCCGGCTCCTCCGGTCTGGCTCATGGTGCTGCCTCTCTGGAGCTACGCACAAGCAACGTCAAGGACTGACGGATTGCTGTAATGGGTTTAGGGGTGGCTCGTGCGTAAGTTGCCGCCACTCCTGGCTAGGTTACCCGGTTAACCCTTTCTGACTGAACAGCCTCCAGCATCGTGACTGTCTCAGTCGCTGGCAGAATCCGTCAGTGGGCGTTTCTTAAACCTTTTCCAGCATAAAAGTTGTTTGACGCCAAGTCTCCTCCTACTCTCCCTGCGCGGAAGTCTTCTGCGCAGGGAGGGTGTGGGCAGCGGAGTACCCGTACTCTCTCCGCTGGTCTCCAGCAAAGAGTCTTGGAGCCTCCTCCCCGATTCCCCCACCTGCCCCCTTTCTCCACTGGTGTTACGCTGATTTCCTTCCCCAGCAGATGGGCTGCCTCTCTCCCTACTGGGACCCTCTCCTGCATCCCTTTGGAACCTTCCCTCCGCCTCTAGCTCCGATGGCAGTTCCCTGACACGCGCTCATCTCGCTTAAGAGGCCGGGAGCCAGCTCTGTCCGAAGACACTTCCGGGTCACGTGGCCAGCGTGACGAAGCTGCACCAGTGCCGCACACGGAAACGCCGTTTACCTTCCCGCTATAAAGTGGCACCTATTTATCTACTTGCACTTAAGGGTGCTTTCGAACTGCTAGGTGGGCAGGAGCTGGGACCGAACGACGGGAGCTCACCCCGCCGCGGGGATTCGAACCGCCGATCTTACGATCAGCAAATCCTAGGCACTGAGGTTTTACCCACAGCGCCACCCGAGTCCCATATATATATATAAACACACTTCCCCCCCAGGTGGCACCTGATTTGATGTCATTTCAGCACCAGCTAATTCCTTTTCCATTTTCCCAGGTTGTTTTAATTTTAGTTATTTATTTTTTTACCTGTTAAGCAGATTGGGGTAGTGATGTCACTGCTGTGCTTTTTAAAAATCTGCTGGATCTTCTTAGCATTTCGGTTCCAGAGTTTTAATAAGTTTCATTTCAATTGCAAACAGCCCTGGGGACATGGGAGTGCTGGAGGTGCGGGATGTTGTTGTTGTTGTTGTTGTTGTTGTTGTTATTTAGTCGTTTAGTCGTGTCCGACTTTTCATGACCCCCATGGATCAGAGCATGCCAGGCACTCCTGTCTTCCACTGCCTCCCGCAGTTTGGTCAAACTCATGCTGGTAGCTTTGACAACACTGTCCAACCAATCTCGTCCTCTGTCGTCCCCTTCTCCTTGTGCCTTCCATCTTTCCCAACATCAGGGTCTTTTCCAGGGAGTCTTCTCTTCTCATGAGGTGGCCAAAGTATTGGAGCCTCCGCTTCAGGATCTGTTCTTCCAGTGAGCACTCAGGGCTGATTTCCTTAAGAATGGAGAGGTTTGATCTTCTTGCAGTCCATGGGACTCTCAAGAGTCTCCTCCAGCACCATAATTCAAAAGCATCAATTCTTCGGCGATCAGCCTTCTTTATGGTCCAGTTCTCACTTCCTTACATCACTACTGGGAAAATCATAGCTTTAACTATACAGACCTTTGTTGGCAAGGTGATGTCTCTGCTTTTTAAGATGCTGTCTAGGTTGGTCATTGTTTTTCTCCCAAGAAGCAGGCGTCTTTTAATTTCATGACTGCTGTCACCATCTGCAGTGATCATGGAGCCCAAGAAAGTAAAATCTCTCACTGCCTCCATTTCTTCCCCTTCTATTTGCCAGGAGGTGATGGGCCCAGTGGCCATGATCTTGGTTTTTTGATGTTGAGCTTCAGACCATATTTTGCGCTCTCCTCTTTCACCCTCATTAAAAGGTTCTTTAATTCCTCCTCACTTTCTGCCATCAAGGTTGTGTCATCTGCATATCTGAGGTTGTTGATAATTTCTTCCGGCAATCTTACTTCCGGCTTGGGTTTCATCCAGCCCAGCCTTTCGCATGTTGAATTCTGCATATAAGTTAAATAAGCAGGGAGACAATATACAGCCTTGTCATACTCCTTTCCCAATTTTGAACCAATCAGTTGTTCCATATCCAGTTCTAACTGTAGCTTCTTGTCCCACATAGATTTCTCAGGAGACAGATGAGGTGATCAGGCACTCCCATTTCTTTAAGAACTTGCCATAGTTTGCTGTGGTCAACACAGTCAAAGGCTTTTGCATAGCCAATGAAGCAGAAGTAGATGTCTTTCTGGAACTCTCTAGCTTTCTCCATAATCTAGCGCATGTTTGCAATTTGGTATCTGGTTCCTCTGCCTCTTCGAAATCCAGCTTGCACTTCTGGGAGTTCTCAGTCCACCTAGCCTGCCTTGTAGAATTTTAAGCATAACCTTGCTACCGTGTGAAATGAGTGCAATTGTGCGGTAGTTGGTGCATTCTTTGGCACTGCCCTTCTTTGGGATTCGGATGTAGACTGATCTTCTCCAATCCTCTGGCCACTGCTGAGTTTTCCAAACTTGCTGGCAAATTGAGTGTAGCACCTTAACAGCATCATCTTTTAAAATTTTAAATGGTTCAGCTGGAATATCATCACTTCCACTGGCCTTGTTATTAGCAGCTTTCTAAGGCCCATTTGACTTCACTCTCCAGGATGTCTGGCTCAAGGTCAGCAACCACACTATCTGGGGTGTGCGAGACATCCATATCTTTCTGGTATAATTCCTCTGTGTATCCTTGCCACCTCTTCTTGATGTCTTTTGCTTCTGTTAGGTCCTTACCACTTTTGTCCTTTATTATGGTAATCTTTGTACGAAATGTTCCTTTCATATCTCCAATTTTCTTGAACAGATCTCTGGTTCTTCCCATTCTGTTGTTTTCCTCTATTTCTTTGTATTGCTCGTTAAGAAGTCCTTCTTGTCTCTCCTTGCTATTTTTTGGAAATCTGCATTCAGTTTCCTGTATCTTTCACTATCTCCCTCGCATTTTGCTTGCCTTCTCCCCCCTGCTGTTTGTAAGGCCTCGTTGGACAGCCACTTTGCTTTCTTGCATTTCCTTTTCATTGGGATGGTTTTCGTTGCTGCCTCCTGTATAATGTTACGAGCCTCCATCCATAGTTCTTCAGGCACTCTGCCCACCAAATCTAAATCCTTAAACCTGTTCCTCACTTCCACTGTGTATTCATAAGGGATTTGATTTAGATTGTATCTTACCAGCCCAGTGGTTTTTCCTACTTTCTTCAGTTTAAGCCTGAATTTTGCTGTAAGAAGCTGATGATCTGAGCCACAGTCAGCTCCAGGTCTTGTTTTTGCTGACTGTATAGAGCTTCTCCATCTTGGGCTGCAAAGAATATAATCAATCTGATTTCGATGGTGCCCATCTGGTGATGTCCATGTGTAGAGTCGTCTCTTGTGTTGATGGAAAAGCGTGTTTGTGATGACCAGCTTGTTCTCTTGACAGAACTCTATTAGCCTTTGCCCTGCTTCGTTTTGAACTCCAAGGCCAAACTTGCCAGTTGTTCCTTTTATCTCTTGATTCCCTACTTTAGCATTCCAACCCCCTATGATGAGAAGAACATCCTTCTTTGGTGTCACTTCTATAAGGTGTTGTAAGTCTTCATAGAATTGGTCAATTTCAGTTTCTTCAGCACCAGTAGCTGGTGCATAAACATGGATTACTGTGATGTTAAAAGGTCTGCCTTGGATTCGTATCGAGATCATCCTATCATTTTTGAAATTGCATCCCAGTACAGCTCTCGCCACTCTTTTGTTGACTATGAGGGCCACTCCATTTCTTTTACGGGTTTCTTGCCCACAGTAGTAGATATGATGGTCATCCGAACTGAATTCGCCCATTCCCGTCCATTTTAGTTCACTGATGCCCAGGATGTCAATATTTATTCTTGCCATCTCATTTTTGACTACATCCAACTTACCCAGGTTCATGGTTCTTACATTCCAGGTTCCTATGCAATATGTTTCTTTACAGCATTGGACTTTCCTTTCACTTCCAGGCATATCCGCAACTTTCGTTTTGTTTTTTTATAATAATTTTTATTAAAGTTTCAATCAAAAATTAAACAACAAAGAAAGAAAAGAAAAACATCAAAAAAAATACACAAATACACCATACAAATCTCAAAGAGAAAATAATAAAAAAACACAAAAGACAAAAATCAACAATGAAAAAAGAACATAACAATTAAAAACAATATCTCTTTTCCATTTCCGTTTCTTAAATTTACTTATTTTCTGGACTTCCTCATACCTCCCTCTTTTGTATTCCAATCCAAATTGTTTGTCCAGCAATTTCTTTTCCACTTTTTTAATCCCAGTCTTTAATTTAATATAATATTGAAATATATAACTTCAACTTCTTTAAACCTAATCTTTAGTCTTAATGTAATGTAACATTAAAATTTTACCTCTTAATTGTCAAATTTCCATTTCATTAAACATCTTTAATCCTAATCTTTAGTCTTAATCTATCATTAACCTTAACCTGTACAGCTGGAAACCGTTTATTTTCAGTCCAACATCACTTTAACATTCTTTAATTTTGCAATGTTTCTGAAGATAGTCTTTGAATTTCTTCCAATCTTCCTCCACCGACTCTTCTCCCTGGTCACGGATTCTACCAGTCATTTCCGCCAGTTCCATATAGTCCATAAGTTTCATCTGCCATTCCTCCAGCGTGGGAAGTTCTTGTGTCTTCCAATACTTTGCGATGAGTATTCTTGCTGCTGTTGTTGCATACATAAAGAAAGTTCTATCCTTTTTAACACCATTTGGCCGACTATGCCCAGGAGAAAGGCCTCTGGTTTCTTAGGGAAGGTATACTTAAATACCTTTTTAATTCATTGTATATCATTTCCCAGAAAGCCTTAATCTTTGGGCACGTCCACCAAAGGTGAAAAATGTACCTTCAGTTTCTTTACATTTCCAACATTTGTTATCGGGCAAGTGATAAATTTTTGCAAGCTTGACTGGGGTTATGTACCACCTGTATATCATTTTCATAATATTCTCTCTTAAGGCATTACATGCCGTAAATTTCATACCTGTGGTCCACAACTGTTCCCAGTCAGCAAACATAATGTTATGTCCAATGTCCTGTGCCCATTTAATCATAGCCGATTTTACCGTTTCATCCTGAGTATTCCATTTCAGCAGCAAGTTATACATTCTTGACAAATTCTTAGTTTTGGGTTCTAACAGTTCTGTTTCTAATTTGGATCTTTCCACCTGGAAGCCAATTTTCTTGTCCAATTTAAATGCCTCCATTATCTGAAAATAATGAAGCCAGTCTCGCACTTTGTTTTTTAACTTTTCAAAGCTTTGCAATTTCAGTCTGTCTCCGTCTTGTTCCAAAATTTCCCAATATTTCGGCCATTTGACCTCCATATTGACCTTTCTCAAGGCTTTCGCTTCCATTGGTGACAGCCACCTTGGAGTTTTGTTTTCTAACAAATCCTTATATCTTATCCAAACATTAAACAGCGCTTTCCTGACAATGTGGTTTTTAAATGCTTTATGTGCTTTGACCTTATCATACCATAGATATGCATGCCATCCAAATACATTGTTAAAACCTTCCAAGTCCAAAATGTCAGTGTTTTCAAGAAGTAGCCATTCTTTCAACCAGCAAAAAGCTGCTGATTCATAGTAAAGTTTAAGGTCTGGCAGGGCAAATCCACCTCTTTCCTTTGCATCCGTTAGTATTTTAAATTTTATTCTGGGCTTCTTGCCCTGCCAGACAAATTTAGAAATATCTTTCTGCCACCTCTTGAAACAATCCATTTTGTCCACGATCTGCAAAGTTTGAAACAAAAACAACATTCTAGGCAATACATTCATTTTACCGCAGCAATACGGCTCAGCAGTGAAAGCTTCAAATTTGACCAAATTTCTAAATCTTTTTCACTTCAGACCAACATTTTTCATAGTTATCTTTAAATAAGTTCCCATTTTTGCTGTCATGTTAATCCCCAGGTATTTAACTTTCTTAACCACTGTTAAACCTGTCTCATTCTGAAACCTCTCTCTTTCAAACGGTGTTAAATTTTTCTCTAAAACCTTGGTTTTTGACTTGTTCAATTTAAATCCTGCCACTTGACCAAATTCCTGAATCAGTTCTAAAACTCTTTTAGTACTAGATTCTGGCTCCTGTAACGTCAATACTAAGTCATCTGCAAATGCTCTCAATTTGTACTGTTTAGTTCCAACCTGTATACCTTTAACCGACTGGTCCCTTCTAATCATATTCAGCAAAACCTCCAGGACCATATCCGCAACTTTCGGCTTTGGCCCAGCTGCTTCATCAGCTCTGAATCTACTTGTACTTATCCTGCTGTCAACTTTGTTCTGGAGCTGACAGAGGCTGGGAATCTAAGCAAGCTGAGGGAGATAAGGACACTGGAATGCGGACTGGAATGTGAGAGGGAGGAGGGGCAGCCGAGTGGCAGAACTTCAGAGAGCAGAGAGCAAGCAGAAGATAAAAAAGCTCTAAACACCAATCTTAGCTCAGAGACAGAAGGAAAGAGGCCGGGAATAGGTAGCCCAAAGAAGAAGAAGAAGAAGAGGAGGAGGAGGAGGAGTTTGGATTTGATATCCCGCCTTTCACTCCCTTTAAGGAGTCTCAAAGCAGCTAACATTCTCCTTTCCCTTCCTCCCCCACAACAAACACTCTGTGAGGTGAGTGGGGCTGAGAGACTTCAAAGAAGTGTGACTGGCCCAAGGTCACCCAGAAGCTGTATGTGGAGGAGCGGAGACGCGAACCCAGTTCCCCAGATTACGAGACTACCGCTCTTAACCATTACACCACACTGGCTAGAAGACTCGAAGGCGGGAAAAGGTCAGTGAGAGGAGGGGAAAAGAACGGAAGCGGAAGGGTTTTTTCCACTGTTGGAAGAGGAAGGTGCGGAGTTTAGACTCGGCAACTGCTAACTTGGAGTTAGACACGGAGTGAAGGAGCTCCGGAGTGATTTATGTGTTTGAGCAATAAACCTGAGATAATTACTGCCGGTGTCTCGCTTCTGTGGAAGAGCCAAGCCATTACAGATTGCTGAGTCTCATCTTAATCTCTCACACCGGAGGACATCAAAGACCGTGATGGATGGGCAAGTACCGGACGTGGGAAGTGCGGCTGGGGGAGCAGCTGGGGGGGCAGGAGAGCCCACTGACCCCATAACAGAATTAAGGAGCTACACGTGGCAGCTCAAAAGCCAATTAGACATTTTGGCAGGAGCACTGCAGAACAAAGGTTGACTTCAGAACAGAAAAGGAACCTCAGAGCCAGCAGGGGGCCTGGACTGATCCCAGCTAAATACAATGGAGATACAGAAAGTTATGCAGCCTTTAGAACTGAAGCCAGATACATTTTGCACTTGAGATCAACTGAATTCAGCTCAGATAAGCAGCGTGTTGCATGTCTGATCAGTTGGCTGGGGGGAACAGCTAAGGACTGGGGTATCCCCCTTATGGAGACCCAACACAGTGCTCTAGGAAACCTGCAGGAGTTCTGGAAACTGATGGATGCCATGTTCAAGAGCCCACTGGAACACGCCACTGCAGAGCAGCAGCTACTGAACTTGCAACAAGGGGGTGACTCTGTGGCCTCTTACTGGACTACCTTCAATTCACTAGTGCACAAGGTGGGCTGGGGATGGAACACAGAGCCCCTTGCAGCCATGTATCATGCAGGGCTGAGTCCTTCGATCCTGGATGAGATGGCAAAGATGCAACCCATGCAGTCACTGGAAGAGATAGTTCAAGCGTCCTTACAGCTAGGGCTACGCCAACAGCAGAGGAAGCTAGAGAAGAGGGGGGCAGGGGGGGCTTTGGGGTAAGGGCCTACACTCCCAAGCTTCCAGAACAGGGGGTTGGCAGCACACCTAGTCAGGGAGAAGCTGTTGAACCGATGCAGATTGGATCGGTGGAAGGGGAGAGAACCAGGAAGGCATGGAAGGAAGGGAGTCAGCAGCGTCAGGAGACACGCACTTGCTTCGTGTGTGCTAGGCAGGGGCATTTGGCTAAACAGTGTCCTGATAGGAAGACAGGGGGATCCCTTTCAGGGACCAGGGTGGAGGAAAAGCCCAAACCCCAAGCAGAACAGTTGGGAAACGGCCAATCCCAGCCCTTAAGAGAGGCTAGGGGCTGGGAGACAAGTCAGTAGAGGGGCCTCAAATGGAACCAGCCGTTCCTGGGATAGCTCTACCCATGACGCTACAACTCCCAGATGGTCGCAGGGTGCAAGGGCAAGCACTGGTGGATTCGGGGGCTTCTCTAGACTTTGTAGATGCAGATTTTGCAAAGCAACACAACCTTGGGACACAGCAACAAGACTCCCCAATCGAGGTACAGACGATAGATGGTTGACCCTTAATAGGGGGGGAGGTGGTTCAAGCCACACAACTGTTAGGGGTGGAGGTGGTGGGACACAAGGAGACAATGAGGTTCCATATCACTAAGTTAGTGACACACCCCATAGTCCTAGGAATGATGTGGCTCACAAAACACAATCCTGTCGTGGCCTGGTGCCAACGCTCCTGGTGCCAAGCGAACTGCTTGAGGCGTGAAGTACCTAGAGAGGTGGGAGCGAAGGGGGCGGAGGTAGGAGGGAAACTCACGGGAGAAGAGAGTTCCATACCCTTGCAGTATAAGGCCTTCAGAGACGTGTTCTGTGAGAAGGAGGCAGACCAGTTACCCCCACACCGCCCTTATGACTGCAAAATAGACTTAGTGCCAGGGGCCCAGATACCCACCAGTCGCCTCTATTCCATGTCAGAGATGGAGTTAGCCGAGCTGAGGGAGTTCTTGCAGAATAATTTGGCAAGGGGGTTTATCTGACCAACAAAGGCACCAGGGGGAGCCCCAGTTTTCTTCATAAGCAAGAGGGACACCCCGGAAAAAAGGCTCGTTGTGGACTATAGGAGGACCAACAAGCTCATGATTCCCAGCCGATACCCCTTGCCACGTATTGGGGATCTGCTGGAGAGGTTGAGATCAGTGAAAATTTTCACCAAGTTGGACCTGAGGGGGGCCTTCAACCTGATAAGGGTAAGGGAAGGCGACGATTGGAAGACGGCCTTTAATACAAGATATGGGACCTTTGAGTACTTAGTGATGCCGTTTGGGTTGCAATCGGGCACAGCCACCTTCCAGGCCTTCATCAATCATGTTTTGGCAGACTCAAAGGCTGGAAAAGGTCAGTAAGAGGAGGGAAAAAGAACGGAAGCGGAAGGGTTTTTTCCACTGTTGGAAGAAGAGGAAGGGGCAGAGTTTAGACTTGGGAACTGCTAACTTGGAGTCAGACATGGAGTGAAGGAGCTCCGGAGTGATTTATGTGTTTGAGCAATAAACCTGAGATAATTACTGCTGGTTTCTCGCTTCTGTGGGAGAGCCAAGCCATTACACCTCTGCTCTTCCTCAGTAGCATGTTGGATGCCTTCTGACCTGAGGGGCTCATCTTCCAGTATCATAACTTTTATATGCCTGTTGTCTTTGTCCATGGAGTTTTCTTGGCAGGGATACTGGAGTGGCTTGCCGGTTCCTGCTCCAGGTGGATCACGTTTGGTCAAAACTCTCCACTATGACCTGTCCATCTTGGGTGGCCCTGCATGGCATAGCTCATAGCTTCTCTGAGTTATTCAAGCCCCTTCGCCATGGCAAGGCAGTGATCCACGAAGGGGGGAGGTGCGGGGTACAAACATGGAAAAAATAACGTGGAACAAATCTGGCAAAGACCTCTTGCTTCTTCTCACTGCCAGGGTGTCTCTTCTGTATCCACAGTGGCGGAAGTATCACAGCTCCCACAAGGTCAGCAAGCAGGAGAGCCAGTCGGGCTCCACGAAGGTGCATGGCAGCCCTCGTGTGAAGCGCAAGCGCCGGAAGGCAGCTCCAGGGCATCATGGGCACAGCTGCGAAGAAGGTACAGGAGCCGGGTCTGCGCTCTGACGATTGCCTTTCCTAAAAGTGTCCAACATCCATGGAAGACTCTTTTACGCTGGTCCTGTAGCCAGCAAGGGTCTCTCTCTGCTGGGCACAGTCCATCTTTGCCTACCTCTTGAGAGAGGGATGATCAAAATGGGTGTGAGCCACTCTTAAAGGGCAGAGCTGCTACCTGCAGTGTGAGGCGTTTCTGTCCATCCTCTCTGGGATATATGAGGCCCGTTCTCTGAATTTCTGGCTTGCTTTCTTAAAATACAGTAGCGTACCTAGCATTTTCCTTTTTTTTTTTTGGTAAGGGTTAGGGTTAGGGTTACGTGTAAGCAAAGGTTTAACAAACATCAAGCCTATTAGACAACTTAAATGTAGGTTTTTATTTTATTTATTTTATTTTTTTGCAATGTCCTCTACCTCAGTTTTTGTTTGTGCAACCACGGCAGGACCACTTGCCTGTTGAGCTGGGCATGAGGGTACAAGCTGATGATAATGCAAATCAGAACACAACTGTCTTTTGGGTTTTGCAGCTGTTCAAATTTTGCAATACAGCTCGTAGCTAAAAATAAATAAAGATGGGGGGGGGGAGTACCAAAATACGTTTTAAATGTGTATTTTAGGTGACAGGAAGGGCAGGATAGAAATGAAAATTTTAAAGTATATTTTCCGATTAATGTGGAAGTGGGACAGAGCAGACTGAATGACTGAACCCATGCACAGTTTGATCTGTTGTGCCCTAATCTCGAGTTGTGTGTCTGAAAACCCCCTTTTGGGTTGGTGGGCTCACTTTCCCAGCTTCACACCTGCTCGTGGCTAAGATCTCTGGGGATGGGGGCAGGACGGAAGATGTACAGCTTCCCTGGACCGATAGTTGTATTTTTCCAAATGGCAGTTTAGTTTTCAGAGCCCTCTTCTTTTTTCTTTTCTTTCCCCCCAACCAAACAATCCTCCTCAGCTTTTGTTGAGAAGAAATCAAAGAACAGTTTCCGGGACTTCATTCCTGTGGTGCTGAGCAGCCGCACACGCAGCCAGTCAGGTGAGTGGCTGATTCCTTCAACCTGGGGTAGGGGAACCTGGCTATTTTTCAGGGAGTTGTGGTCTGTCTGAAACATATGCTTGTGTGTTGTGTAAAATCTTCTTAGCTTAGCTGCCTTGGTCCCCCAGTCCCTAAACAACCATACAGAAAGAGACAAGCAATATCTGTGCTTTGGGTCAATTTAATTTTGAAACCAAGTGTGCAGGCTTTTGAGTTACACAGGTCTCTTCCTCAGAGTGAATTTGGAAGAAAAATCAGCATCTGGATTTGCTAATTGTTCTGTTGTTGTTGTTACTTGTGAAATGAATTATATATTAGGGGATTCTGAGAGGAAAAATTGGGCACAAAAGAGGGAGGTGTTGCTAAAGCTGAGATCCCGAGGTGTAGTGCTTAATTCTGATTCAAGAGTGGGGGGGGGGGGTCCTTTCCTTCTTCCTGTAGGAAGCATGGGAGGCTCTTCTGTTAACATGTTGGAGGAGTGTGGCCAGGAGATTCTACTGCCGGTGGAAGAGGAAGAAGAGAATGTCGAGGGAGAGGATGAACTCATCCTGAGGCATCGCAGGCTGAGAAAATCCCCCCACCTCTCCCCCCACTCCGGCTGCAAAGACAGAGAGCAGTCACCGTCAGAGAAGAGCAGTTTCCACTCACGCAAGGGTCAGGGGATCCCGTGGCAAGTGGATGCCACTCGGCAGCTGTGGAGCTGCAAGGAGGCGGAGGAGGAGAGCGGCCACATCATACCTACGGGTATGCCCCACGGAGAGCCTCAAGGTCCATAAATAGCAACACCCTAGAGATCCCGGGCCCTAAGGAAGTCAGATTAGCTTCAACCAGAGCCAGGGCCTTTTCAACACTGGCTCCGGCCTGGTGGAACGCTCTGTCTCATGAGACCAGGGGCCTGCAGGATCTGATTTCTTTCCGCAAGGCCTGTAAGACAGAGTTGTTCCGCCTGGCCTTTGGCTTGGAATCAACTTGATCCCCTCTCCCTCTTTCATTTTTCCTTTCTCCTTCTGTGATGGAACTCCTATTTGGGGACTTCCCTGGTTTTTTTCTGGCCCACGTAGGACCAGTCTGGATAGTTGGCCTTGAAGATTTGACGTTTTTATCCCCAAAAAGTTTTGATTTGAGTTTCTACTGAAATGAGGCAGAATTTTAATGTTGTATTTTAATCTTTGTTTGTTTGTTTGTTTTTGTTTTTTTTAAAAAATAAATGAATTTTATTAGTATTTTCCACACAACAACAACAACCCGAAAGATATCAAAAGATAACAATACACAACACACAAAAATCAACATTCGAAAACTAAAAAAGACAACAAAAACAAAACAAAAAACAAACAAATCCATATCTTGCAAGTTAATATTATAAACACTAAAACAACAACAACATGACATTGACTTCCACCAATCCCACAGCACCTCCTTTATCTCTCATTCTGTCTTCCTGATTTCCTGTTTTCTTTATCCTCTCTATCCTAACATCTAGATATAAATCCTTCTTTCATATTCTTTCACTTCACAAGGTTATTCCAGACTCAGCCAGATTTCTGCCCTCGAACCTTGACTTTTGAGGTATTCATTTAGGCACTCCCATTATTTTTAACTTCATTTTTTGGTTTTTGTCTTATTATATCTGTCAATTTGGCTAATTCTAAGTATTCTGAGAGCTTACATAGCCACTCTCCCCTAGTGGGTAACTGATTCCCTTTCCAGTACTTAGCCACCAGGATTCTTGCTGCAGACGTTGTGTATAAGAAAAATCTAGTTTTGTCTTTTGGAATATCGTCATTTAAAATTCCTAAAAGGAATGCCTCTGGCCTTTTACTATATGATATTCTTAATATTTTCTTTATTTCTTTGTGGATCATGCTCCAAAATTTCCCAATTTCGGGGCACGTCCACCACATATGGTAGAAGGTTCCTTTTTGTATCTTGCATCTCCAGCACTTATTATTATATGTTTTATTCATTTTTGCAAGACTTTCTGGTGCCATGTACCACCTGTGATACATTTTCATATAGTTCTCTCTTATTAGGTAACATGCTGTAAAATTGATATTTTTTGTCCATAGTCTTTCCCATTCATTATATTCAGTTGGGTGGCCCAGATCTTGTTCCCATTTTTTAATAGCGTCTCCTTTTTCCTCCTTTTCTACTTCCCCATTTTGTAACAGTTTATATATTTTTGAAAGAGTCTGTTGGTTGTTATATAAAATTTCTTTTTCCCATGCTGAGATTTTTTTTATCAAACCCTTAAGCTTACTATCCTTCTCAAATATTGTTTTTCATAGAAAATATTCTAACCAATTCACCCCCCCCTTTTAATTCTTCAAATTTCTTTACTGTTGGGCAATCTTTTATCTCTTCTACGAGTTCCCTATATGTTAGCCAGCTATCTTTCATATTGCTTCTGTGCAAGGCTGATGACTCTATAGGTGATAGCCACCAGGGAGTTTTGGCTTTTACTATTGTTTTATTTCTTTCCCAGACTTCGAATAGGGCCTTTCTCACCAAATGATTAGTGAATCCTCTATGTGCTTTTATTTTATCGTGACCCAGATAGCCATGCCACCCAAAAACTTTGTCCCAGCCCTCCAGGTCTAAGATTTCAGTATCTGTCAGTAACATCCAATCTTTTAGCCATGTCATGCATGCAGCCTCAAAATACAGCTTGAGGTTTGGGACTGCGAACCCCGCCCCTTTCTCTAGGCTCCATCAGTACTTTGAACCTTACACTTGGCTTCTTACCTTGCCAGATAAAATTAGAAAGATCCCTTTGCCAACCTTTAAAACATTTTGTCCTGATAATTATTGGGATCATCTGGAAAAGGAAGAGCATCTTTGGTAGAATTGATATTTTTATCAAGGATATCCTTCCCCATAAGGGCAAGTTCAATTTATTCCATTTATTTAGATGTCCTTTTATTTCCTTCCACTTCTTCACATAGTTATCCTTGTACAAATTGGTATTTTTATTTGTGATCTAGATCCCCAAATACTTAACTTTCGTGGTGATTTTAAGGTCTGTTACTCTTTCCAATTCTTCCTGATCCTTTACCCCCATATTTTTCGTTAATAATTTAGATTTTTCTTTATTTAACTTAAAGCCTAATACTTCTCCATACTCAAACAATTTCTTTAGTGCTTCTGGTATACTTTCTTCTGGGTTTTCTGTAGTAATGATTACATTGTCCGCAAACGCTTTAACTTTATATTGTCTATTACCTAGACTAATCCCCTTGATTTTTGGGTCCTTTCTTATCGCTATTAGGAGTGTTTCCAGCGTCATAATAAACAAAAGTGGGGATAGAGGGCATCCTTGTCTGGTGCCTCTTTCAATTTGGAATTCTTCAGTTATTTCATTGTTAATTATTAACTTAGCTTTCTGGTTTTCATATATCGCTTTAATACCATTCGAAATTTTGTTCCCAAGTTTCAAACTTTCCACAGTGTGGACCAGAAAATTCCAGGCCACACTGTCGAAGGCTTTCTCCGCATCTACCAGTAACATTGCCACCTTCTTGCTAGGTTTCATATCAATATATTCTAGAAGATCAGTCACTATTCTTGTATTATTTTTTATCTGTCTTGTTTTTAAGTTGTATTTTAATCAATTGTTTTTATGCTTGGTGTTAGCCACCCTGAGCCCAGAATTGGTTGGGGAGGGCGGGGTATAAATAAGAAAAGGGGGAAAAAAAGAGAGAGAACGAAAAGGAGGAGGCAGAAAAGCTGGAAGTACCAGACTGGAGAGTACTTGATAGAGCGGGAGAAAGAGGAGCACACGAGATGTTGCAACAAGCGGTGGAAAATGCAAGCAGGTAGCGAAGGGGAGCCACCGGGAACGGCTGCAGGGCAGGGATCCTCAAGGCGGCAGCCCTTGGTGCAACTTCTGCGCTGTCAGGCTAGTGTTACTTGGCCCTGTGGCAGCTTCACATTTAACAATTCACTTACTTGCCATGGGCAACCAGGAATCCTATGCAGGCGAGTGAGTGGACTCGCAAAGGAGGCATGGACCTTTCTGCCTCTTCTCTGCCAACCTGCTTTGCAGAATGCAATTTTTAAAGAAAGCATTGCCAGTGTTTCTTGCTGGCCGTGGGGCAGGCTGGTAAATAAAAAACACAAATTTGTGGGCTGTGCCAGCCCATGCCAATACCTGTGACTGGGAGGGTTGTAAGGGGCAGAGAGGGAAACATCGTTCACCCTGTGTGCCCCCACTGCTCACAATGGTTACCAGCACTCTTAGTTTGCCCACCATGTTTCTGTGCATGTGCAGTAGTTTCCCATGGAAACAGTGTGAACTTGGGACTGGCAGTCTCCCTTCCTCGGGTCATCTGAGGTTTTGCCAAGCATTGACCATGCATTTTGAACCATGTGGTGCAGTCTGAAGTTTGTGATCCTGCGCCAAGTGCTGCACACAGCCCTGTCTGTGCCTGAAGCACCCCTGGTGGACACCCATCCAACTTCACCTCCCTAGAGGTTGTCCAAAATAGACCTCGCCAGCTTCTTAGCCTGCTTATTTGTTGCTGAACGGCTGTGAAGTCTATGGAGTGCCCTTTGAACAGCTTATGCTGCAGCCGTCTTCTCCCTAGAATTTAAAAGGCAGCGCTTTACCAGAGAGGAAATAACAAGCAATTGTTGTCCCTCTCCTTTCTGGCATCTTTTTTTAAAAAACAAAAACAAAACCCTTTTAGGCCATTGGAAAAAAGAGGGACAATTGCTCTTGCAGGCTTGCCAAATTAATCCCACTGTCGGTTGCAGGAAGGCATCCCTTTTCAGCCTGAGTGAGGACAAGTCTTCCGTAGTGGCACGGAGCAAGGCAGAACTGTCCAGTTTGCCAGCTGCGGTAGCCACCAGGGGGCAGCTGCTTAAGCTTGGGCTCTGCTAGCACGGGTGGAAAAAGCTGCAGAGTGCTTCGTGAAGAGCTTAAAGGCCTGGAAGCCTTAAGGGAGGACAAGGCCGCATGTATTGTGGGAAAGTTCATTAAGCAGGAGGAAACCACGTAGAACTTCAAGCACAGCTTCCCTTTAGGGCGATTGTGGACGTCTGCAGTGTATCTAACGGTGTGTGCTGCCAGTGGTGTGTCCGTCCACCAGTCTGCTTCTCTCTTCGCCCTCGTTTGTATGCTAATTCTTTGCTTCTGGTCAAAGGTATCAGTTTCCCAGAATCCTTTGCTTTTGCAGTTCTCTGGCCCTCTGATCCATCTTCCTTTCAAGTTGTTAGCAAAGGATCATATACGTCGATGGCATAATAATAAATTCAATAAAGCTATGGAACTCACTGCCACGGTAATGTGGCAGTGGCTCAGAATAAAAGGGAGCTAGGGAAATAGGTGCAGAAGTTGTGACGTTAGTGCCATTTCAGTTGGCTAAAATGGAGCAGTTGCTTAGCAGCACACCATAGACTGAGGATGCTGGACAGCTTCCTCTGATGTACCCACGGCTGGCTGATAGTATGCAAGGGGAGCTAACCAAGAAGCTTGCTCTGAAGCCTCTGCTGTTCCTTTCTTTTTCTACTCCCCACTTCTGTTTGCATGTTCAGGAGCTGATGTGTGCATTTGAGCCCAGGGATGTGTGCATTTGAGCCTCCTTTGTGCTGTTTAATCCCCCTCTGCCTTGCCTTGCAGGCTTCAGGTACCGAAACCACAAGGATGCTGTGCCGAGCAAAGGCTCGGATCTGTGCTTGAGGAGCAGGCTTTCTCCAACCCTCCAAGGACTCCTGGACTTCCACAATGGATTCCTCTTGGATCACCCCAACTCGGCTCCCATCCAGGATGTGCTAGAGAAACCTTCCGGGAAACGCAAATGCAAAACCAAACACCTCTCAGGCATCTGTGAAGAGGGGAAGGTACAGTATTGCTTAGGAGATGCTGGAGTTGATTTCGGGATAGGGTTAGACGGGTGCTGCACCCAGGGCTCTGTGGGAGTCTGAGCTACAAAACCAGGCTCAATCGCCACTTAAAAGGTTTAGCTAGCAGATGCTGGGAAATAACTTCTCTCGGTTGCCTGGGGCTTTGGGAAGTTGCCACTCGGCATCACAGACCAAGGATGGGCAACCCGTCACCCCCCTGGCTGGGGTGGGAGGGAGCTGAAGTGCCAAAGGCAGCACATCCCTGTTGTCAACAGTACTAATTTAAGCAAAACAAAGAGTTTCATCCTGGTGTACAGCTGCTTCCTCAGTTCCTGTGAATGGATCTGCCAGCATTTTTCATTTTATTTTAAAGGGCTCTCAATATGATCAGAGCAGAAGCCGTGTGTGTATGTGTTCAGAACCCAAATGAGCAATCCGCCCTGGGTACGCCTGCCTGTGCACAATGCAAAGGCCGAATGGATTACTGGGAGCAGAATTCAGCATTTGAGAGTCTCGGTTTTCTTTTCTTTTTTTAAGATTTAAAAAAATGTGAGCGATGCCTGTGAGATCCCACAAAACTGGGCTAGCGTGGTGTTGGAGAGTGTGATTTACACAGCTGAGATTTCCGGACTTCCATATTGTATATCATTTTCTGCCCTTCTCCACAGCTAGCAGAAGCAGAATTGAGTGTGCATACAAAAGTAATTGTGTTATTGATGTAAACTGTGACGTTGTGGAATGCAAGCTTTTTTTAGAGGTTCAGCATTCTTCTTCACTTAGCCCTGTTCTGACACTACTCTTCTTCCTCCCCAATCCCCCCACTCATTCTCTGTGTTCCATTTTTTTTTTAAAGGCCAAGGCACGCCTGAGCCAGTTCAAGATACGCTCTCCAAAGAAAGCTCGGGAACCCTGCTTGTTGAACAAGTCCCTGCAGCACAAATCAGAAAGAGCCCCTGAGCCCCCCGCAGCCCCGCTGGTGCCCCCTGAAGCTCGTCGACTGATAGTGAACAAGAATGCAGGGGAGACACTGCTGCAGAGAGCAGCCCTGCTTGGCTACAAGGTGGGTGCCACTTCTTGCAAGGGGGGCGGGGTGGATAAACAGCAGGAGACAACTGCTGCCATTGTTTACTAATCTTGGGTTGGGGGTTCTTTCGCCAGGATGTGGTGATGTACTGCCTGCAGAAGGAAAACAACAATGTCAACCACAGGGACAACGCAGGCTACACAGCCCTGCACGAGGCCTGCGCTCGCGGCTGGGTGGACATCCTGCAGCTCTTGCTGGAGCATGGTGCAAACGTGAACTGCAGTGCGCAGGATGGCACCAGGCAAGTCCACCGCTGCTGAGGAATCACAGTTGCCAGGGGCTTGGCCAGGGGCTAAGTGGCCCACTGAATCTGGGCCTCAGGTGGCCCGTTTTAGCTTCTGAATCTGTAACATTGATGAGTTAAGCCAGTGAGAGCTGCTGTGGTGCAGTACTTAAGAGTGTCAGATTTAGGGCAGAGGAGAGTCAGGTTCCATTGCCAACTCTGCCACTCTCTGGGTGATCTTGGACCAGCCATACCCTTCCTACCTAACCTACATTGCACGTTTTTCATGAGGGTAAAGAGATGGGGGAGACCATGTGAACTTCCTTGAGATCCTTGGGAGGAAAGGTGGGGTGGCAATTAAATAAATAAATGCAACCTACCTTGTCCGTGTGCTCTAAGAGGGGCATCTTGCACTGAATTTCTTTTTCTTTTCTTTTTTGCATTTGCTTTCCTTTTTTAAAAAAATTATTAGGCATTTAAGCAAAACATATTATCCAAAAACATGTCTTCCTTAATATTTTCCCCATTTTCCTCCCTCCCCCCACCCTCCCCTAAAAAGCCCACCCCCCCACCCCCTGACTTCCCTCAGTTCCAATCTTTGGTTTCTCTATGAATGCTATTCTCTGCATGTTACAAAGTTGTATAAATCCTTAAGTTGTCTAACTGATTATTGTCAATAAAGAGTTTGTGAGTGTTTATTCAAAACCTGCCGAAGAGTCCAATTCACTTTGTTGTTTCTTCAAATAGTTTATAAAGGGTTCCCATTCATCTTTGATGTCACAGTTATCCTTGTCCCGTAGCTTATGTGTCAACTTTGCCAGTTCTGCATAGTCCATCAGTTTCTCTTGCCATGATTCTTTAGTTGGGATTTCTTCAGTCTTCCTTTTTTTTTTTTAAATGATATTTATTAAAATTTCAAAAGAAAAAGATTACATTAATAAGAAAATTAACAATAAAAAGGAAAAATACAAAATACAAAATACAAAAAAGAAAAAACAGTTAAAACAATTCCATCTTTTCATCACTTCTCTTACATTTACTTGTTTCCTGGACCTCCTCATACCTCCCTCTTTTGTATTCCAATTCAATTTGTTAGTCCAGCAATTCCTTTCCCTCCTTTTTAATCCTGATCTTTAATCTTAATATATTATAACATTAAATTTTTACGTATTAAAAACCAATTTTTCCATATTCTTTTATACCATTACAGCTAGAAACCGCTTAACTTCAATCCGTCACCATTCTAACATTCATTAATTTTACAATATTTCTGTAAGTAGTCTTTAAATTTCTTCCATTCTTCTTCCGCCGACTCTTCTCCCTGGTCTCGGATTCTGCCAGTCATTTCCGCCAATTCCATGTAGTCCATCATTTTCATCTGCCATTCCTCCAGTGTGGGTAGATCTTGTGTCTTCCAATGCTTTGCAATAAGTATTCTTGCTGCTGTTGTAGCATACATAAAGAAAGTTCTGTCCTTCTTTAACACCGATTGGCCGACTATGCCCAGGAGAAAGGCCTCTGGTTTCTTCCAGAAGGTATATTTAAATACCTTTTTTAATTCATTATAAATCATCTCCCAGAAAACCTTAATCCTTGGGCACGTCCACCAAAGGTGAAAGAATGTACCTTCAGTTTCTTTACATTTCCAACATTTGTTATCGGGCAAATGGTAGATTTTTGCAAGCTTGACTGGGGTTATGTACCACCTGTATATCATTTTCATAATATTCTCTCTTAGGGCATTACATGCCGTAAACTTCATACCTGTGGTCCACAACTGTTCCCAGTCAGCCATCATTATATTATGTCCAACGTCTTGTGCCCATTTAATCATAGCAGATTTCACCGTTTCATCCTGAGTATTCCATTTCAACAGCAAGTTATACATCTTTGACAAAATCTTAGTTTTGGGTTCTAACAATTCTGTTTCTAATTTTGATTTTTCCACCTGGAAGCCAATTTTCTTGTCCAAATTGTATGCCTCCATTATCTGATAATAATGAAGCCAGTCTCGCACTTTGTTTTTTAGTTTTTCAAAACTCTGCAGTTTCAATCTATCTCCATCTTGTTCCAAAATTTCCCAATATTTCGGCCATTTGACCTCCATATTGAGCTTTTTCTGAGCTTTTGCTTCCATTGGTGACAGCCACCTCGGTGTTTTATTTTCCAATAAATCCTTATATCTTATCCAGACATTAAACAATGCTTTCCTGACAATATGGTTTTTAAATGCTTTATGTGCTTTGACCTTATCATACCACAGATATGCATGCCATCCAAATACATTGTTAAAGCCTTCTAGATCCAAAATGTCAGTGTTTTCAAGAAGCAGCCATTCTTTCAACCAGCAAAAAGCTGCTGATTCATAATAAAGTTTGAGGTCTAGCAGGGCAAATCCACCTCTTTCCTTTGCATCTGTTAATATTTTGAATTTTATTCTCGGCTTCTTGCCCTGCCAGACAAATCTAGAAATATCTCTCTGCCACCTCTTGAAACAGTCCATTTTGTCCACAATTTGCAATGTTTGAAACAAAAACAACGTTCTAGGCAATACATTCATTTTAACCACAGCAATACGGCCCAGCAGTGAAAGCTTCAAATTTGACCAAATTTCTAAATCTTTTTTCACTTCAGCCCAACATTTTTCATAGTTATCTTTAAATAAATTCCCATTTTTGCTGTCATGTTAATCCCCAGGTATTTAACTTTCTTAACCACTGTTAAACCTGTCTCATTCTGAAACCTCTCGCTCTCCATTGGTGTTAAATTTTTCTCTAAAACCTTAGTTTTTAACTTATTCAATTTAAACCCTGCAACTTGACCAAATTCTTGAATCAGTTCTAAAACCCTTTTGGTACTAGATTCTGGCTCCTGTAACGTCAGTACTAAGTCATCTGCAAATGCTCTCAATTTGTACTGTTTGGCTCCGATCTGTATACCTTTAACCAACTGGTCCCTTCTAATCATGTTCAGCAAAACCTCCAGGACCGATATAAAAAGCAGTGGGGAAATTGGGCAACCTTGTCGTGTCCCTTTTTCTATCTTAAATTCTTCCGTCACCACATTATTTACAATTAGTTTAGCCTTTTGTTCTGAATAAATTGCACTTATACCGTTTTCAAAGCCTTGGCCTACCCCCATACCCTGTAAGTTCTTCTTCATAAAACTCCAAGAAATGTTGTCAAAAGCTTTCTCCGCGTCCACCAATATCAAAACTGCTTTAGTATTTATGTTCACTTCTAGTTTTTCCAAAATATCAATTATATTCCTCAAATTGTCAGACAAGTGTCTTCCCGGGAGAAAGCCCGCTTGGTCTTTATGAATCTCTTCCATCAACACTTTTTCAGTCTCTTAGCCAAAATGTCTGCAAAAATTTTGTAATCCACATTAAGTAATGATATGGGGCGGTAGTTCTTAAGCTGCGTCTTTTCAGTCTCTGTTTTCGGTACAAGTGTGATATAAGCTTCTTTCCACGACTCTGGTGCCCTTTTCCCTCCATTATTTCATTACAGACTTCTTTCAAAGGTTGTACTAGCCATTCTTTCAAGGATCTGTAATATCTAGAAGTCAGTCCATCCGGTCCTGGAGATTTACCCAATTGCATGTTTTGAATGGCACCTTCTATCTCCTGTTCAGTTATTTTGTAGTTCAACATTAATTTATTTTCTTGAGAGATTTTTGTAATCCATTTGTTTTCAAAATCGATCTACATCAGTTTCTTTCAGTGGCCCTTGTGTATATAGTTGTTTAAAGTACCTCTGGAAACAATTTCTAATCTCAGCTGGGTTCTGTATATTCCTTCCTTCCACTTCTAAGTTTGTAACTGTATTTAATTTTTGTCTTTTTTTCATTTGCCAAGCCAACAATTTCCCACATTTATTAGCCGACTCGAATGTCTTTTGTCTCATTTGTTTAATTTTCCGTTCTATCTCCTGATTCATCATTTTCATATATTGCACTTGATATAACTTTATTTCTCTCAAAATCTCTTGAGACTTTGGTTTTGTTCTCAATCTTTTTTCACTTTCCTTTATTTTCTCCAATATTTTATCCTTCTTCTCATTTTGGATTCTCCTCTTTAATGCATTCTGTTGTATCAAGAACCCTCTCATAACCGCTTTGCTTGCGTCCCAGATTACTCTTTTTTCCACATTGGTGCTCATATTTATCTCAAAATAGTCTCTCAAGGTTTTTTGGGCCTTCTTAAGCACTTCTTCATCTCTAAATAAGGTGTCATTCATCCTCCATCTAAAGGAGCCAGTTGGTGTTAGTTTCATTTCCATCTTGACAGCATTATGGTCGGAGCAGGTTTTTGGGCAGATTTCCACTTTTCTTGTCTTTGGTGCCATTCCTCTAGTTACCCATATTTGATCGATTCTTGTCCATGTCATTTTAGCTTCAGAAAAGAAGGTTCCCTCTTTAGCCATGGGGTTCCTTGTTCTCCAAATATCAACTAAGTCCAAGTTGTCTGTCATGTCAAAAAAAGTTTTTGGTAGTCTACCATCCTTAGTGACTACCTGGCTTTGTGCCTTCCGGGATGGCGCCATCGGTAATGGCAGATTCCCTCTGATCTGGAGGGAACCAGCTCCACGGAAAATCGGGTCTGCACCGCTACGGCGCAGCGGGGACCCTTCAAAAATCACAGGCGGGTGAAACCTGTGACCGTGGGACTCGGCGGGCACCGTTTGCGCCCCCCCCAATCGGCAAAGGAACCCGGCAACGGGCTCCGGAGCGGAGCGGGGAAGTGGCGCTGTGCTGTGAGTCGTCTGCTTCTTCCGTGGAGTGAAGCCACGCAGCTGTTACCGGAGAGCGCTGCCTTTTTCCTGGGACAATTTGGCTTTGAAACAACGATCCGTGAGTAGGTTAACTTTTGAATTAAAGGAACTTTACAAATTTTTTGAACAATTCGGTACCGAAGCGGAGAGGTATAAACAGGAAGTCTGCCTCCTGCTCTTGTAAACGGAGTAAAGCAATGAACTTGAAAGCGGAAGCTTTAAAAGACGTTGGAAAAGGATTATAATTCGAGCATCAAAACTGTGATTTTCCCCCCTTGATTGCAGGGGAGGAGGGGGGAGAAGGTTTGAATGTTATTTCCCTGAAAAAAGAGAGGAAGAGGAGACAAAATCCACCGCTTAAAACCCTGGAACGGGTTCCCAGTGACAGTAAGAAGCCGTATTGGAAACTGCGCTGTTGTTGAAAGTACTCTTTGACAGTTAACTCTGCATCTGAGATACAACTTTGATACAATATTGCTGACAGGTATCTCCTGGTTTTAAAGTAACAGACTGAGAGAGAAACTGTTGTCTTTTCGGTGAATTGGGGGGCTAAAGGGAGAAGTTAATTACTTTAAGACATTTTTGACTGTTACTGTGTCCCCCTAGAGGAAGTTTGAATCTGTTACAACTGCAGCTGGCTTAAGGGAATTTTCCACTTCAATTTCCTAAGGGAATTTTCCACTTCAAAACAACTCTGACTCTGATTGTGAGACTGACCTTGGGTTATATCTTGAGGGTTATGGCAGATGGGAAAGAGAAGATAGATTTGTTACAAGCAACGAGGTCTGGCAGAGTATTTCGCGCAGACGGTGGGCTGCAAAGAAGGGCTTCGACATCTGGCCCTCCTGGTTTACCAACAGCAACCTCATCGGCACAACCTAAACCCAAAGGTATGGCAGCTGACGATGCCCTGGCTCAGGCACTAGGTAAAATTAATGAATCTTTGGAAAGAATAAGTAAACAAGTAGCCGAGGCATCGGGTAAAATTGATCAAAATACGACAAGTATTAATAATTTGGGACAGAAGGTAAATACTAATACAGAAACTATTCAGAAACTATTACAGGAATCCACTTCGACACGTAAGACAGCCGAAGAGGCTAAAGAAATTGCAACTGCTACAGCTACTGTGGTAGAAGAGAAGATACCACCACTACATAAACAACTTGAAGACCACAAGTCAATTCTGTCTATGATCGAGTTGAAGGAGAAACAAGTGAATTTAAGGGTCAAGGCTGTACCTGAAGTGGAGAAAGACAATTTGATTGAATTTCTTACGCAGGAATTTGCAGACTTTTGGAACCCAGATTTGGGGAAGGACAGTTTCAAGATAGTGAGTGCTTTTAGGCTTGGAAAAGGAGGGAGAAAGAACAGGGTGAGAGACTGTTTGATCACCCTCTGAACAAAAGAAGAGAGAGATAAAATCCTGAGCCTGCATTTCCAGAAGACCTTGGAAATACAACAGTCAAAAGTGGAGATATTCAAGGATATTCCGAAACATCTTTTGGACCTTAGGTCCAATTATAAAGATTTGGTTACCCTGCTGAGAAGCAACGGAATCATTTTTAGGTGGGAATTCCCCCAAGGCCTATCCTTTAGCTATAAAGGGAAGAAGATAAAAATAAGATCAGAAGACGACAAAGATAAATTTTGGAGAGACCACGGAGAAGACCTGCAGAAGAAAGTTACAGGAGAGCTAAGAGCACTTGTAAGAGAAACTTTAGACACACCAGATTTACCTCTGGAACTAAAAGACCGCCTGAAAAAGGTGATACCACCGACAGAACAGGAACAGGCACTGGGTGCTGTTGGAGGAGAAGTAAAGTAGCTACATCATGGCTCTGCAACTACTAAGTTGGAATTGTAATGGCTTGAACTCCCCTCAGAAAAGGAGATCTGTGTTTCATTTATTAAAAAAGGAACAATTGGACTTGATTTCTCTACAAGAAACACATATAACAAGGTTACACAGGAAATTATTGATTAATAGAAGACTTGGTCAGGAGTTTATTTCATCAGACAAGGTTAAAAAAAGAGGGGTTGTGATTTATGCAAAGGACAGATTATCACCGAAATTTATTTTTAAAGATGACCAAGGAAGATTTGTGGCAATTGAAATTCAAACACAAGGAGAAAATTTTTTGATAGTAGGAATTTATGCACCAAATGAGGGGAAATCTGATTTTTTTAAGAAGTTGCATGAGACCCTGATGGACTATTTGGATTACAACATGATTTTGATGGGAGACATGAATGGAGTGGTATCTACACATAGGGATTTCTTCAGTCTTCCATCCTTGTGCTATTAAGACTCTCGCGGCCGTTGTTGCATACATGAAGATGTTTTTCAGCTTTTTTGACAGGTCTTTCCCTACGATCCCTAACAGAAATGCTTCCGGTTTTTTAACAAATGTTAAGTGGAACATTTTCTTCACTTCATTGTGTATCATTTCTCAAATTTTTTTTTATTACATTACAATCCCACCACATATGATAAAATGTCACCTCCTTTTCCTTACATTTCCAACATATATTTGAACTAGTTTTGTACATTTTCCCTAACTGCACTGGTGTCATATACATCTTCTTCATATAATTCTCCTTCAACAGGGAACAGTCTGTAAATTTTATTTCAGTTTTCCTTAACTTTCCCCAATCTTCCATCATAATATTGTGGCCTACATCTTGTGCCCATTTAATCATGACTGATTTTACCTCTTCATCTTACGTCTCCCATTCTAATAGTATGCTGTAAGCGGCCTTCAGTAATTTCACTTTCCCTTCAATCACTTCCGTTTGGAATCTAGATCTTGTGTAGCTAAATCCTTTCTTACTGTCTTCTTTATATGTTTCGTATAATTGTCACTAGTGCAACCAACTCCGAAAATGATCTTTGATCTCGTCATAATCTCTTAATTTCCATTTTCCATCATGATCCTTTAATAGATCAACATATGTGAGCCATTTTCCTTTCTTTCCAAGTGGTTTGAGCAGTAATGCTTCATGTGGTGAAATCCACCAAGGGGTCTTTTGTTCCAATAAATCTTTATATCTCTCCTATACTCTCATTAATGATTTCCTAATTATATGGTTATAGAAACTTCTGTGAATCTTCCCTTTCCCATACCATAAATATGCATGCCAACCAAATCTATTGTCATGTCCTTCTAATTCTAATGTGTCTTGCTTATCCAACCTCATCCAGTCCCTGATCCATACCAAACAAGCAGATTCATAATACAGTTTAAGGTCAGGATCTTGCACTGAATTTCAGCAAGTTCTGCAGGTTGAGAACTGTCTGCTGAAGTGGAGCTGCTCTCTCTTTAAAAATCCCTGCACATAGAAAAATAGCATGCTAGGGAGAAGGCTCAGCAAGAATCCCTCTGCGGTCTTGAAAGCAGTCCAGTCCACGCCTCACCCCATGAGAAAGACGCAATGGATGGGCTGTCTGATGCACTCATCTACCCTGAGGGGCATCGGTTCTGCAATGTCCCAAGCCCAAAGTGGCAGTGCCTGGATCTTTTATCAAGTAATTCCAGGGACTAAATTGTTGTCCCGTGTACTTGAAAGGCATGTGCTTTGTCATTGAGCTGTGGCTCCTTCATGTCTGGTACTTCTTAAAATCCTTGCAGCTCGGGATAATTATTTATTAATAATACGGTCGTTGCTCAGTTACCAAGGACAGACCAACAGTGGACATTTCTCCATATTCATTTCTCCCTATTTAAAATATGTAGCAGAGCACAGGACCCTTCCATCCACCTCAGCATATTGTTTGAACTGGCTGGCTGAGGCTCTCTGGTTTTTCAGACGGGTCTCTCCCAGCCCTACTTGAAGCTCCTAGGGATTGAACCTGGGACCTCTTGTAGGCAATCAGATGCTGAGCTTACCGCCTGTCATTAACAGAGAGTACACAACTCTTTACAAAGGCAAACAGGAGGGGTAGGGTCCCTTGCAGGTTCCTCAAGGGTTCCCTGATGGGGAAAGGCCAGGGAGGAATGGGTGATCCCTGGTCAGCTCCAGCCTTTTGACTCTGTGAAATCCAATTTAAAACTCTTTGTCTCTTGGCAGGCCTGTCCATGACGCTGCAGCAAATGACAGTTTGGAGATCATGTGGCTCCTGCTGTCTTATGGTGCTGACCCAACCCTGGCTACATATTCGGGGCAGACTGCCCTGAAGCTGGCCAGCAGCGAAAACATGAAAAACTTCCTTAATGGTAGGTTTCCATTTGTCAAAGGTAAGGCAGCAATTTTATTCCCCTGCACACACACACACCCTGGCCATTGGATACTAGATATAACGCATGTGTTGCTGCAGTCGAAAATGCACATGGGTTTTGCAGGGAAAGTGCTTGATTTGCATTAAAGGACATCATTCTGCAGGATATATGCATGCTTCAATGGGTTGATTCTGGTGCTTAGTTTTCCCTCTAAGGAGGGCTTTGGATGGATTCATGTTGGAGGGCTCTACTTTGAAAACATTAGACTAGAATCCTACATGAATCTTGCTAGAAGGTACCTGTGAGCAAAAGACGAAGATTTTTGCTCTCATTAAAGGCTTGCAAAGTTCAATGTGGATTTATCATAACATCACAATCTTTTGTGATAAATCCACATTGAATTATCCCTTTAATCCAGGGTTTCCCAAACTTTGGTCTCCAGCTGTTTTTTTTGGACTACATTTCCCATCATCCCTGACCACTTGTCCTGCTAGCTTGTGGTGATGGGAGTTGTAGTCCAACGACAGCTGGAGGCATAAGTTTGGGAAACCCTGCTTTAATCAGTCTTTATGGCAAGGATTGTGGAGCCTTCATCCTGCAGGCCAATCTTGAGTCCAGTTTGGCCCATGAGGCCATTTCCTCTAAACTGTGCCCCCTCTGGTCAGTCACCTGACATCACTTTGATGGGTGGGTGAAAACAGCTGATGGGCTGTTCAGTTCTGCATGGGCTGTGCCTGCCTGTTCCCCACATGGAGCTGGTATGCTCAGCCAAAGCATCAGTATTTTAAGTGCCCACCCATCACCTGATGAGAGAGAGTTCAGTTCTGCTCCTTGCTGCTTCCTGGTGACTTTTTCCTTCTGCAAGTTAACTTAAACAGGTGGGCAAGATTGCCTACTTAATGGTCACCCAATGGCAGATGGGTTGCCTCTGCCTACCTGTAGAAGTTCAGCCACAAGGATGGGGGGAGATAAAATATCTGGCACACTAGGTCAAAAATTCCCCCATCTTACTCTCTGGGAACCTTGCCTAAGCACCTGAAAACGCATTGACATCTCAGCTTCCTTTATTCCATTTTATCTTCTTGCAGATTACCTCTTGGATCTGCAGGGTCGAGCTGAAGGGGACCCCCATACAGCCTGGGATTTTTACAGCAGCACTATATTAGGTGAGTAGACCCCACCTACCTCTTTTCCCTGCTCCCTGGAACAACAAGTAGTGGAGCTGATCGGCTTCCCTAGAGGCAGGATGTTTGGAGCAAGGGAATGAAGTGCAGGGCATTTTTTATTTGTTTCCCAAGCACTCTGTCTTTTGGTCTTAAACCACTTGCTCCTGCAGCGTACTGAGTGGAGGAGACAGATCTTCAAAGATGTGTTTGAACCATTTTCTTCAAATGGTGGGTGATTTTGCTCAGTTACTGCCCTTTGAAGAAACTGGTTTGGTTGACCCTTCAAGCTCAAGACATATTGGTCTCACAAGTGCACCTTGGGATGTTTCTGTTGGGATACTGCCAAGGAGACAGAGGCATCAGACAGGCCCCCAGTCGCCTCCGGACGATCACTGGTCTCCCGTGGAACAGCATCAGTCAATTAGCGACATGAGCCTCAGAGACATTCCAAGGCCCGTGCACACCCTTTCAGCAGTCTCCACAACGAAAGATGTAGACAGGAGAGCACATTTACAGCTTTATTCAACGTAGATCAGAACAAAGGAAAAACATGACTGCTTGCCTCCGTGTCCAGGAAAACAGCCAGAACAAAAGCTATATACAAAACAGAAGTTCCCAGCGAGAGCTGGAACGAAACAGGAATGTGATAAACAACAATCATGCCTGACCATTTAAGGTGGAACGAAACTATATCCTAACATCCTCCCCCTTTCCGTGTAACCTGTAGTACCTGTGGTTCAACCCAATTGCAAAATCTGTACATAAACCTTAAGTTGTTCTCTGTTAACAACCTTAGACAACAGATCAGCAGGAATTTCATTTCCTGGCATGTAGGACACCTGAATGAGTCCTTTCTGAATACACTCTCTTGCACAATGTAACTTAATCTGCAAGTACTTGGTTCTTTGCTTGCAACTCTCTGAGTTCAGCAAAGCCAAACAGGATCTATTGTCTTGATATACCTGTATAGGACATTTCACAGAAACTCTGATGTCCTGAAACAGTTGCATCGACCATTCACAACCCATGAGTGAAAATGACAGAGCATTGAGTTCTGCTTCACAGGAACTTAGGCTTACTGTCGTCTGCTTTTTGCATAGCCAGTAAAACAGACAATGGTTGTACATGTAGCATGCTCCAGAAGTGCTTGTACCATCCATGGTGTCACTTCCAAAACTAGCATCTGCAAAGATTTCAAGACCTGCAGTCTTCTGACTGGTGAACCTCAGCCTGTAGTGCAAAGTCCCCTTCAAATAGCAGGCTATGCGCTTCAGAGCTTTCCAATCCTGAACAGTAGGATTGTTGGCATGTCTGCTAAGCAGGTTAGTGCTTACAGCTATGTCAGGTCTTGAACATCTAGCAATGAGATTCAGCTTGCCTAGAATGCATCTGTACAGTGTGGTGTCAGAAAATGCTTCAGCAGTACTATCTACCTGGTAACCTGTCACCATCGGTGTGTCTGCTGTTTTTGCATCAACCAAATTCAGCCTGGTTAATACATCAGCAATTTTCTGTGTTTGGTGTACCAGAAAATTACCTGCTTGGTCCTTCTCCACCTGCAGAGAAAGATAGTTGGATACCTCACCAAGATCCTTCATGTCAAAGTGCTCCTTCAGCTGAGCTAGGGTGCTTTGGTAGAAAGCCTGATTCTTCCAAAACATCAGAAGATCATCAACAAAACATAAACAATACAGTTTTTTTTGCCCCTCCTCCTTGACAAACACACAGCTTTGCCTTGGTGAAAACCTAGAGAAAGCAATGTCTCAGTGAGTTTTGTGTTCCAACACCTGGCACTCTGCTTGAGACCATATAAGGACTTCCGTAGTTTACAGACTATTCGCTTCTGTATCTGCACTCCATCAGGTGGAAGCATATACAGCTCCTCCCCCAAAATCCCGTACAAAAAAGCTGTGTTCGCATCGTGATGAGAAACGTGCAGTTTCTCCTCTGCAGCAATCGTGAGCATTAGCCTAATGCTCTCATACTTGACGGTGGGTGAGTAGGTCTCGTGGTAATCCTGTCCTGGTACCTGTGAAAAACCTCTAGCGACCAATCTGGCTTTGTGCCTTACAACCTTGCCAATCTGGTCTGTCTTGGCCTTGAAGACCCATTTGCTGCCAACCAGCCTCATTCCTGGGACTACTGGGACTAGCTCCCAGGTTTGGTTCCTATTCAAGGAATCAGCTTCAGCCTTCATGGCATTAAGCCATGGCTCAGTATCTTTAGAGGTCAACTCCTGAACCTCTTTGAAGCTTGAAGGTTCCCACACCTTCTCTAAGCTACTAAGAACAGCAGTTGCTGTCTTAGCAAACACATCAGCAAATCTCTTTGGAGGTTTGCCTTTTGTGGCCCTTTCAGATCTGCGTACTAGACGCAAGTCTTCTGCACTCATCTTCTCCTTCTTAGGAGAAAAGTGACCAATGGTGAACAGTGGTTCTCCCAGTTCAGTGTCAGACGCATCAGATGGTCTGACTGAGGCCTTTGCGCTCTTGTAGTCTGCTGTGTCATCACTGTCACTGACACCAGCAGCAGCGCCGCCCACTGAACTGGAATCCAAACTCTGATCATCATCCTCAGCTTCCTCGTCTACCTCATCATCATCATCTGCTTCTTTCACATCATCTTCATCCTCCTCTGAGTGACTCTGGAAAATTCCCACATTCCCCCCCCCCCACTTAGGATTGTACTCAACACTCTTTGTGAGCCTAATGGACTTAGAGTCAGTCATGAATACCCTGTATGCACCTTTTTCGTACCCCATGAACAAACCATGTGCCCCACACTTCCCAAGCTTGCTGTTCTGTGGGGTGTGTACCCACATGTCAGAACCAAATATTCTCATGTGCTTGACGTAAGGTTTCTTACCAAACATCTTCTCATAGGGAGTACAACCAATAGGTGATGACAGTCTCCTATTATAGGAATAAAGGAAACACGATAAAGCTTCAGCCCAATATTTCTCAGGGAGATTGGCATCATGCAGTAAGGTTTTTAGGCCTTGCAGCAAAGTCTGGCTTGCTTGCTCACAAAGTCCATTCTCCCATGGAGATCTAGGACTTGAGAGGCTATGCTGGATTCCCTTCTCAGTCAGGAAAGCTTCAAACTGCTGAGAAGTGAATTCACCACCTCGATCAGAAAATAAACAGCCAATGCGTTTATTGTGAGCATTCTCCAACCAAGCACAGAATGCCTTGAACTTAGGAAACGCTTCTGACATCTGCTGGAGCATAAACACATGAATGTACCTGGAAAAAGAATCAATTAGAACCATGAAGTACCTTGCTCCACCCAAAGAGGGTGCCAACCAGGTCTGCGTGGACTAGCTGATATGGTTTGGAAGCCTGTCTCCTAGACACCTTGCCTTTCGGAGCAACCTTCACCTTGTTTTCTGCACAAGACACACATTTCATGTGAAACTTACAGGGCTTGATGTTCAAACCCTGAACCGTTCCAGGCATCTTGGCCAGTGCCTGCCAAGACATGTGACCAAATTTTCGGTGCGCCTCATGAATACATCCTGCGTGAAGAACTTTGTTAGTTTGTGCAACATAACAAGATTCAACACTAGACACATCAACAGCATTGTCATCATAAGTTATCAAGAACAAGCCATCTATAAACTTCGCATGCAAAATGTCCTCTTTGCCCTTCCTGATGACACAGACGCTCTTCTTGAAGGAAATCTCAAAGCCTCACCCAGTCAGCTGTGGGACGCTGAGCAAATTGTCTGCAGAATCTGGAACAAAAAGTACTTCGCTAATGGTTGTGTGCAGACTTGCCAGTTTCACTGTCCCGGCTCCTGCAACTCTCAACGTCTTTCCATCAGCCTGTTGGATCCCTCCATCTTGAGGTGTGAAGGAGATAAACAAGCGTTGATTTTTCGTAATGTGCCTTCTGGCTACAGAATCGACAGCATATCTGGCTTTGGCCTTTGGAGCAGCAGTGCCAGCAAACAAAACCTTGTTTTCCACCAGCCTGGGCTGCTGCTTGCCCCCCTGCTCCTGGCCATCTGCAGGCTTTTGTCTCTGTTTACATCTCGCCTTCTGGCCTCTGCAAAGGCTGCCGACTCCTTGGCTCCCCCTGGAGGCTGGAATGCTGTCTGGGATGACGTAACAGTCAGCTCCCCCTGCAGCTTGCAATCGGTGCCCTCGGCATCCCTGCAATCACTCTCAATCTGGGAAACAGCCAGGACCTCCGAGGCAGTCAAACTCTGTGCTGGAGACGCTGTCAGATGGGCTACTTTCAAAGCATTTCACATCTGACTTGCTGTCGTGTTGCCAGCCAATGTTACAATTTCCTCCAGAGAGACGGACAAGACAATCACATCTATGGCCCTTGAATCATCGGCCCTCCATCTATCTGTCAGAGGAACTGGAGGCGCTTCATACACAGTGTGCCACACTCCAAACTGTCTCATCTGGCCCTCGCAGTACCTTGCCCAGGTCTGATAGTTGTGGCCATTAAGCTTTGGGCACGGAACCCCATCTTAGGCTTGTAAAAGCTCCATTTCAGCTCTTTACTTCAGCCATGAGCCTTATTCCCTTCAAAAGCTCCTTATCTTTGGCAGGTTGTAAATTACGAGGCCTGCTTGCTCTCTCTGCCAGCCTAATTAGTTGGCTCGGACTTCAAAGACTCTGTTGCGGCACAGAAAAGTCTTGCTTTTCTCCACATACCTCTCGCAGTCTTCAGCAGTCTTACTCTCCTGTAAGCACCGTGAATCTGGGCCCATAACCTGTTGTTGGGATACTGCCAGGGAGACGGAGGCATCAGGCAGCCTACACGTCGTCTCCAGGCGATCACCGGTCTCCCGTGAAACTGTTGGGATATGAGTACAACGCAGCTGCAAACAAGCAGCTCGATGTTTACATCACATGATGTGGCTAGTCCTGGGAAAGAATGTACCAGGCAGTTCACAGGGATTTGTTCTGTGTGTAATATGAGACCTTCCTGTTGCGTGTGTGAAGGAAGTCTTAGTCAGTTGCTTGGAGGAGACTGAACTGAACGGACATGTTTTTGTACAGATGTAAAGTCAGAAATAAACCGTAGAAATGTAAATGACTTTCTGACTATCTTCTTTCCCCTGCTAGTATGCAAGGGGAGAAGGGGGTGTGCATCTTCCACGCTGGGGGATGTCGCCTATCAAGACCTCTCTGGACTGCCGTGATACCAGCCGAAGTAGGTCACCGGAGACAAGCCCCGGGAGCCAGCTGACAGACTGTTGGATTTTTACTCTTGTAGCTGAGAGCTGACACTTGGAATCAAGATGGATGCCAAGCAAGGGGCGGGTTTGCCTTATCCACCCCCCCTAACTAATGACAATTATTCCTCATGGTCTTTGAAAATGAAAGCCCTACTTCAGAGACAGAGAGTATTTGGGGTGATTGAAAATCCCATCCCAGCAGCTCCCACAAGAGCTTGGAATGAACAGAATGTGAAGGCCAGGTCGGCTATCATCTTATGTGTTTCTGACCATCAACTTGTGCATATTGCGGATTTGGAATTCGCGCGTGAGATTTGGCAAACGTTACAGCGAATTCATCAGAGAGATGCCGCTGGCACTGCGCTGCTGCATTTTGAGAAACTCACAAACATGAGACTGAAGCCTGATGGCGATGTGCAAGTGCCTTTGACAGAGATGAAATTTCTACGCTAGCAGATGGCGCAAAGAAATTTTCCTCTTCAGGAAGAAATATTCTGTTTTATGATTATTAACAACTTGAACCAGACTTACAAAACCGTTGCAAGTCAACTTGGTTCTCTACCTGCTGCGGATCTTACGGTGGAGAGAATTTGTTCCGTGGTTCTGAATGAGAGAGACCGACTTGCTGCAATAGCTGTTGCTGATGGGGGGAGTGAAGCTCGGAGTTCAAGCACCCCCCACTGTTACTGCTACAGAGGAGCAGGCTGTAGCTTTGAACGTTGTTCGTTCTTACAATTGTGGCCAGCCTGGGCATGTTCAGAGGAACTGTAAAAGGCCACGTCAACAGAAAGGAGCCAAAGGGGGCTCTGCAAAGCCTGAGGCTTCAGGCAAGGGTCGTGCCAAGTCGCAGGCAAGACCAGCAAAGGCTTTGATGTCGCCAAAAGCCACATCATCGGTAGAAAACGCGTTTATTATCAACGCTGGAGCGACCAAGCACCTCACGTCACGCCAGGAATTGTTTTCTATGTTTGAGAAGCAACGCTTCACTGTGATTCAAGCCAACGGTCAGGAGATGGAAGCTACCGGAATTGGAACTGTTTATCTGGAGAGTCTGAACTTGACTATAAGTAATGTTTATTATGTTCCGGACTTAAAGTTCAATTTGTTGAGTGTTTCTCAGATGACAAAGAAAGGGCTGATGTTGTCCTATGATAAGCAGAGTTGCAAAATCTTTAAAGACGGAGAGCTGTATCTTTCTGCCAGAGAGAAAGATGGACTTGTATCTATTGACTTTTGATGAGTCTGATTACAGAGTGTCTAATGCATGTGATACTATGATGTTTTCTCTTGCAGGTGTATCGAAAAAAGCCACGGGAAGAAAGACAACAAAGATTAACAGTGTTTTTCAGCGAGTGTATGCTGATGTAATTGGTCCTCTAGCACCATCTAGAGGCAATGCTAAATACTATCTTGTGTTTGTTGATCACTATTCTCAATATGTATGTGTCAGGGAACTGCCATCGGAGCCAGGGGGAGAGGGAGGGCTCCAGAGGGATTCCGGAGAGCGTCCCGGGAGGGAGAAAAGCAGCACATCTTCTGGGGAAGGAAATCAGCGTAGCACCAGTGGAGAAGGGGGGCAGATGGGGGAATCGGCGAGGTGGCTCCATGACTCTTCGCTGGGGACCAGCGGGGAGAGCACGGGTCCTCCGCTGCCCACACCCTCCCTGCGCAGAAGGCTTCCGCGCAGGGAGACTAGGCGGAGACTAGGCGTCAAAGAACTTCTTTGCTGGAAGAAGTTCAAGAAACGCCCACTGACAGATTCTGCCAGCGATTGAGACAGCCACGAGCGAGTGGCTGTCCGGACAGAAAAGGTTCACTCAGGCAACCTAGCCAGGTGTGGCGCCGATTTACGCACGAGCAACCCCTAGAACCATTACAGTATGGCTATATGTATTGCAATCACCAAAAGAAACCTTAGCAAGTTTTAAAGAGTTTTGTGATAAGGTTAAGACTGTTCATGATGCTAATATTGATTATCTTTTCACAGATGAAAAGCCAATTTTTCTTTCACAGGATTTTCAGGATTTCCTGGAGAAACGAAGGATAGAGCATAAGATTGCTGTATCTGAAGCTTCATGGAACAAGAGTGTGTATGTAAAGGTGAACAAAGAGTTGCAAAATGGCATGAGAGCACAATTGCTGAGTTCACATTTGCCACATGAGTTCTGGGCTGAATCTTTATCCTCTTTTTGTCACACTTGGGTGAGAAAGGTTTCAAAAGGTATGGAAAGTTCTCCTTTTGAGAAGCTCTTCCACAGGAAACCTTCTGCAACACATTTTAAGGTTTTTGGATCTCACGTCCATACAGAAACTCCACAAGGGGTCAGAAATGCCAAAGGCATTTTTGTGGGTTATGAAAAGGGCCTCTACAGAGTAATTTTGTCTGAATCTGGTCAGGTGATTCTCACAAAATATCTAGAGAGCACTCCGAGACAGGAGAGAGAGGTTCTCCACACATTTCCCACTGATGACAATGCAGATGAGTACTCTGATACTGAGAGTGACAGAGAGAGCTCAGAGAGTTCTGCTGACACAGTCATTGAGAGGGGTTCACACACAATGTCTAGTCCTTCACAGGTTAAGGCTGAACTAGAATTGACTTAACCACTGTTTACTGTTGGGAGTGGTTCTCCAAAAAGTCCAGAGGAAGAACCAGTCAGCAAGGAAAATCTGCACCTCATACGCAGGTCTGAGAGAATGACAAAGGGCATACCACCCAAAAGGTATTCTCAAGAGTTTGCTAACTCAGCTGTTGCATGTGTTACTATTGTTGACAACTCAAGCCAGGTTAAAGGTATGTCTAAGTCAAAGACAAAGACACAACTGGGAGTTGCAAAACGTAACACTACCTTCCCTAGCCAAGTCAATGTAGAAGCACTCATTCCTTGAAAAACAGACAACCAGAGAGTTACACTGGTGAAACCAGTGGCGGGTAGTTCCAAAGGTGGAACTGAAACAACAGGGGATTGTTACGTGTATAACAACTGTTTGTTTTCTTCTCTGGATCAAGCTTTGTTCGCAGCTAACGTTGAATCATATGGGGGAGTATGTTGGGATATGAGTACAACACAGCTGCAAACAAGCAGCTCGATGTTTACATCACATGATGTGGCTAGTCCTGGGAAAGAATGTACCAGGCAGTTCACAGGGATTTGTTCTGTGTGTAATATGAGACCTTCCTGTTGCGTGTGTGAAGGAAGTCTTAGTCAGTTGCTTGGAGGAGACTGAACTGAACGGACATGTTTTTGTACAGATGTAAAGTCAGAAATAAACCGTAGAAATGTAAATGACTTTCTGACTATCTTCTTTCTCCTGCTGGTATGCAAGGGGAGAAGGGGGTGTGCATCTTCCACGCTGGGGGATGTCGCCTATCAAGACCTCTCTGGACTGCCGTGATACCAGCCGGAGTAGGTCACCGGAGACAAGCCCCGGGAGCCGCGGAGAGGGGTCAGCCTCTCCCGAGGGGGCATGTTTTCCAACAGGAACAGCATCAGTCAATTAGCGACACGAGCCTCAGAGACATTCCAAGGCCCGTGCACACCCTTTCAGCAGAGTCTCCACAACGGAAGATGCAGACAGAAGAGCATATTTACAGCTTTATTCAACGTAGATCAGAACAAAGGAAAAACATGACTGCTTGCCTCCGTGTCCAGGAAAACAGCCAGAACAAAAGCTATATACAAAACAGAAGTTCCCAGCGAGAGCTGGAATGAAACGGGGGGGCCACTAGGTGCGCATTGGAAGATGGCCGACAATAACATCTCTCCGGCCCACACGAGGTAATTAAGAGGCTGTTATGGGAGTATGCAGCCTCCCTTGTTGCCCCAAGGGAATGGGGAACACTGCCCTTGCCTGCTGTGCCCATAAATCACCCCCGAATTTGAAAGAAGGGGGTGAGGGCACTAGGCAGAATGCCCTTGTGTGGACTCCGGCTCTCCTGGACGCTGTCTCTGATCGCGCACTAGCTGCAGCAAATTGGAAATAAACAATTAGAAAGAAGCAAATGCACATATTTCAAGTGAAGAACGGGAGTGAAGACTGCTAATTGAAGGGACCTCTGCGAAAGAAGAGCAACGGGTTGGATCAACAGGAATATATCATGAAGAATACATCAAAGGCTTGGAATGTCGGCAGCGGGACTGGATGGGGGGGGGACTCTTTTTATTTTCTTCTATGTGATTAACCAATAACCCCTCCTCAAGATAGAACCGTTGCTTAACTGATCCAAGCAGGATGATTAAGAACTGTGTGGAAATGAATTCTAACCAAAAGTTTGCTTTACGGAGATTGAGAAAAGAACGAGCTTTTGGAATGACGCAGCAATAAAAAACAGAGTCGCCATGTTGGCTGGTTTTGTCGAAAGATTTACTACCGGGAGGAGGAATGGACTTGTTTTCATACTGGATTCCTAGCGAACCTCCTCAAAGGACTGAGAAGGGAGCGACAGACCAGTGAAGATTAACGACGGTAAGAGCGTTTTTATTTATGGAAGCGATGATATACAGAAGCCGTCTGATATGGCTCTTGGATGAACGGAAAAAACCTACACAGGATTACAATTTGTCTTAACCCGCTTGTGGAGACCATCAGAGGTCACAAAGAGAAAGGAAAAATATATGAAAACAACAAGAAACAACAAGAAAGGATTGGATAGAACTGTGAACATTATTTGGACAGATTTGTGGACTTGAAAGCAGCAGCAAGAAGATGATTGGATCCCCTTCGGAACTTGAAATATGGGTATCCCCAACAAAAATTTAAAATTTGGCTTTGTAATTTGTAATTTATGTGATTTGATTTGATTGGTCGGTTAATAAAAATTATTTTTTTTTAAAAAGAGAGAGAGAGCTGGAACGAAACAGGCATGTGATACACAACAATCATGCCTGACCATTTAAGGTGGAACGGAACTATATCCTAACAGTTTCCTCCATTCTTTGATCCTTTGCTGGTGCCTTCCCTTCTTCAGCCTAGGCAGGGACAGGGAACCTGTGGCCTTCCAGGTGCTGTTTGACTTCCACTTCTGTCATCCCTAACCGTTTGCTTGGACTGATGGGAGTTGGGAGTCCAGCAACATCTGGAGGGCCACAGGTTCCCTGTCCTTGCCCTAATGGCAGCTCTGGGCAAGCAGTAGGCAGCAAGAGATGGGTGGCTTTTGGCATACCTTGTGCCAGAATTCCAGCCATTCTCTGTGGGAGAAAAGAGCCTGCTGCTCCTGTGCCTCAGGAAGTTGGCCTCTCCCATCCTGAGAGTGGAGAGAGTGGGGAAATGAGAGGCAGTATGTATCTAAGACTGTACTCTCTGTTTAAATGTGGGAAAGAGGAACCCAGCATTTTTGCATCCATGCAGTCCAGAAGAGTTGAATTTTGTGCCTGCCAAAAGTAGCCTCCCCTCACCTGGTGCCTTCTAGATGCTGCATGGTCCCAGTTCCCATCAACCCCAGCCAGCACTGCTGACAGTCATGAGTCATGGGAATTGTAGTCTAAAAACAACTGGAGGGCACCACATTGGAGAAGGTAGCTCTAAAGGACAAGGATTGAGCACTGTGCATAAGTTCCCTTATTATGCACAATTTATTCCACTGTTTGGGTTTTTTGTGTGTCTGTCATTTATTCTACCTTTGCTGATCCTGGGAGGGGCTGATGAGCTATGCACCCCAACCCCTGGAAATCTTACATTCCGACTTCTGAAACATAAGAGACCCAGCTTACTTGCACTGCCAGATGCTTCTCTGCACCTAAAAAGGCTAGATGCATGGGGTTTTTCAAAACAGGAGCTGTCATTCTTGCAGAGCTACATTCCTCACCCAGCCTGAGCCGTCTGCACTCCTGTAGCATTGCAGCATAACACAGCCCCATAGTGGTCTCTAAATTTCTATCGGCTTCTGCCAGGTGTTCCTCCAGGCATCTACATGCTGGGCTTCTTTTGCAGCCCGTGGTTGGGTTGCTATGGTAATGGCTGTCCAGCAAGTGAACTGGGCACAGGGAAGGCTAGGGAGCAAGCTTGTGCGTGCAGAGTTCTTTGAGCCCGTGGCATTTCCCCTCCCTCACTTCCCTCTCCATTTCCCGTATCCCTTGTTTCAGAGGGGAAAGAGAAAATTGGCTGTGACCTTCTGCTCAACCCTCCCGGGAGCTCTGATCAGGAGGACGATGAGCAGGACTCGGGCCACCTCATGTTTGAGTTCTCCAACAAGCCGTTGCTCCCCTGCTACAACCTGGAAGTGTCTGTCTCCCAGGGGTGAGTAATGGCGGCATCTCCTTGTTGGGAGAGCTTGGGGAGCTTTTGAGAACAGGCCAAATTGTACCACCCCACTACTCCCTGGGAGAAAGAGGAGCCCTGAAGTCCAAAGGCCAGTGTCATTGGAAGGTGGTGAGCAGGAGGGAGGGAAGGACGGGTCTGTTGCAGACAACAGCTTTTGAGAGCCTTGGAGAAAGGATGAGGAGACATGCATTTGCTTGCAAGTCAGCTTTCCCTTTCCTTCTCCAGCTCACACAGGCACAGCAAGGTTTTGCCAGCTTCTCAAGGAGGGGAGGGGCATTCAGAGAGCCTGCTGTGACAAATGAGAGACTGGCAAACCATGACAAAATAACAGGCTTTGGGGGGGGGGGTATATGATGCCTATTCTGCATATTAAGCATGGAAGTGGTGGGAGCTCCGTGGTTCCAAAAGGATGGGGGTGAAGGCAGGCAGGGTCGTGGCCAAGATCCTGCATCTGCAAAAGCACCATTCCAAACTGCTGGTGCTGCAGTCGTTACAATGCTGTGACCCAGATAAAGGATGCAAAGGAAGCAGATCTCAGAATGTCTTGTGCTTTTGCGTCATTGGTTCTGTTTTTTATTAGGCAGAAGCTGGGGGAGGGATGAGGGAGGGCCGCACAGCATAGAGACAAGCTACCCACTACCTGACCCAAGTCCTGCCTCCCCCCTCCTCTGCCCAGCCCAACTGCTGAGATGTCAGTAGGGACAGGCTGCAGTGTATTCAAGCATAATGGGCACCCATGAGGGTTAGAAGCATGGTGTTCAAAAACAAAGCACTACCATCCTTTTCACTTACTTGCACCAGGCAGTTGTAGCCGTGGGTGATGTGAGGTGGGTGCTAACGGCTGGGGAGAGAGGATGCTTGGAGTTGCAGCGCAAGCACTTTTTAAGCTAGCAGGACCAGTGGCCAGGGATGATGGGAATCATAGCCCCAAAACAGCTGGATACCCACGTTTGGGGAAACACGGCACTAGAAGATAGGGCAGTTGCTCTGAGTACATTAGGGATGGGGAACATGTGGCCCCCTAGATGTCATTGAGCTCCAACTCCTGTTGGCCCCAGCCAGTTTGGCCAGTGGGAAGAATAATGGCAGTTGTGATCTAGCAACATATGGGGAAAATGGGCTTCCATCAAGATGGGATGGTGTCGCTTATGGGTAGGTTTCAACCCTTGCATTTCAGCTTTTAGAACTTTGACTGTGGGGGTGGGAGGGGGAGAGTGAAATGGAGAACAGGGGAGGGATGGGCACAGAGAGCATGTCCCTACTGACCACCACGCTTCTCCCCTTTGCCCAGGCCCTGCAACTGGTTCCTCTTCTCAGACATGCTGAAGCGGATGAAGCTCTCGTCCCGCATCTTCCAGGCCCGTTTCCCACACTTTGAGGTGACCACCCTGCCCAAGGTGGAGTTCCAGCGCCAGGTGTTGTTGAGCCAGGTGCTGGCCCCAAAAGAAATCCAGGAGCACATGGCGCCCCCCTTGCCTCTGGGTGCTGCAGAGACGGTGGAGCTGGTGCGCCACGAGCTGGAGCTGGCTCGGCTGCTGGGCTCGGAGGTGATGTTGGAGGCCTGGAGCAGCTGATGGGGGGCTGGGCATTCCCCTCTGTCGGCGTCGGACTGCACTGCAAGGCAATAATCTGGACCAAGGAGAGAAGGTGGCCTTCTCGCCAGCAGGGCTTCTGTCTGCCTGGTCCTCCCTGACGAACTGCAACGGATGCTCACCGCCTGCCCTCCTACCTTCCCACCAACCCTGAGGGTAGGAAGCTGCCATCCCCTGTGCCCTGGACTCTGCACTCGTTCACCTGCTGCAGGGCCTCGGTGGCTTGGAAGCCTCTCCATGGAACTGCGTCTCTTTCCCCACCCCAAGCTCTTCAAGAGTATTTATTTAAATTAGTATTTAATTTGTGGTGTTCTTTTTCTTTTTTGTTCTTGCTAAGTCTGTATCACTGTGATTCGGGGGGGGGGGAGTGGAGAGACAGGGGACAACTTCCTGCAGCCACCATCGCCTCTGGGATTCCCCTGAGTGACTAAGCTGGGCCTTCCTTTCTCCTGTCCTCCATGAAATAGCGAGAGGGAGGCTATTGTTTCTTCTCCCCCCTCTGTTTTAGAGACACCCAGCTTCTGTTGGGTGAGTAGGAGCCAACCTTCAGTTTCCACAATAAATTATTTGAGGGGCCGGGCCCCCCCAAAGTTGAGGAGCATAACCATTCAAATGGTGTGTGGTCATCATGTCTTGTGATCAGCTAAGCGATGCGACACCTGCCCCCCCCCCCCAGTACTTTATTCAAGTTGGCACCCCTGGTTGGGTGCATTTCCCTCCCTGCCCTTTTTTATCATATTATTTTGTTTCTGATGTCCAGCCAGCCGCTTTTCGAAACAGAATGATTACACAGCCAAAGGCACCTGGTGGTCTCAGCTATTTTATTTGCACACCCCCCACTCCCTCTTTATAATTTCATCCTTGTTCAATCATTTCAGCTGGCAAGGCAGTACGGTCTTCAATGGGGTGGGGGCAGCAGAGAAAGAGAGAGAGAGAGAGAGAGAGAGAGAGAGAGATCATTTGGAGGGTAGGGGGGCAGGGTGTGGGGGTGTGCGGTACAGTTTTATTGTACAGGTGCTAACAAGGACTGGACAATCTCTTATTATTTTGGCTCTTCCCCTGCTCTGGGGAGGTTGTTTTGGGTGGTGACATTTTTGTTCTTTTGTGTTGTGTCCCCCCCCCCCTTCCCACTCGGGGAGCTGCATTTCCTTGCACAGCTCCAAAATCAGTTTTCCAAGCGGGCTGCCTCTTCTGGCCCCCTTCCTTGGAAAAAGCAAACAGCGTTCCCTTCTCTCCGCCACCATCTCTCTCTTCCACCAAGGCTTTGGGGCATGTGCTGCAGCTGCTGCAGCTGCAGCTGCTGCTGCTGCTGCTGCTGCTGCTGCTGCTTCTGATTTGTTTTAAGCAACACTTTGGTGTCAAAAACACTTATGTACAGAAAAACCTGCATCAGAGCCTCAGTCTCCTGCCTCGTCTTTTGGGTCTGGCCTCTTACTTCTGAAGCCTGGTGGATAAGGCGGGGGGTGGGGGTGGGGGGAAAGCAACCCCATCATAGAAGCACTTCTGCTCTGAGGGGAAAACGGGTGTTATCTATATGCCGTAATGGCTGCCTCTTCCACCCATTTTTGGCAGTGAGTTGTGCAGACTAAAGAAGGCCGTTTACAACTTCCACTTGATGCTTACCTGTACAATAACAGTTGACTTTTGAAAACAGTTTCTTGCCATATCCCTCCCAGGACAAAGCAAGCTGTTGTTGGTTGGGGGAAGAGAGTGCTGGGCTCTTAGTCCCAGTACGGGCCGGCCAGTAAACCAAGATCAGCAAGGAAGGGAGATGGATTTTGGCTCTGATACTGTTGTCCATCACCTAAACTGTTGAACACGAAGGCATCTTGAAGGACAGTTTTAATTTGAGAGCCTGCATTGTGTTTTTTGAAGGTGCATCATTTAAGCGACTTGCATTTTCCTGACTGGAATTCCCATTCCACTCACCCCCCTCAGCTAAAGCTGCTGTGATTCCAGTTGTGTAAAACAGGGTGTGAGGAAGTTGAAAGGGTCAGCCTCCACGTACACTTTCTCTCCCAGCTCTATCCAAACCCAATGTTCTAATTTCTTTAAAGGAGTCAAGTGCTCTGTTCACACACCTGGTTTTTTAGGACTTAGCCCCCTTTGCCTCCTCTTTAAACCAGGAGTGGGGAACGTGTGGCCCTCCAGATGTTGGGGAAACTCGGAACACCCCAGCCAGCATGGGCAATGGCCAAGGACTCTTGAGAGTCACAGGTTCCCTATACTCACTTTAAACAGTACCAGAGTATAATTATCTGCTGCAGAAAAATCTTAAGGCACTTTGCTGGGTTATCCCTCATACCATTCAGCTAAGGTGGGATTTGCTGCAGCAGCATCCTGTCTTTGCAAAAGTCTTCCCTGTCAGTGCTGCGCAAAGGGAAGGACTAGCTGCAGGGGGGCAGGCGGTCTGTTCAACATGGAAGGTTTTGTCCATGGACAGGAAACCTGTGGCCCTTTGGTTGCTGTGGGTGGACTTCAACTCCAAGCACTTCCAGCCAACTTACCCAATGGTCAGCAGCAGCTAAGGTGTCCACAGGTGTTTCCTATCTCCGATCAGCTCCATCATAGCTTAGCTGTACACAAGGTTTCTATTATTCCTGGGAGGAGGATTGGTTTGAAAAATCTGTCCTCCCTAGCTGGGATTATCTCCCACTTTGTCTTCAGCAGTTAGGTTGGCTTTCTAGTCAGGAGTCTTATGTGGGACTGTTGCCTCATTTCCCAGAATCTCCTGACACGGGCAAAGAACTGAGGGTGGAAAGTCAAGGCACTCTTCTTTGATGCAGGTATTGGGCAGAAGGCACAGACATTCCTGTGTTTTCCACTCCATCCTGAAGCCCACTCAGAAAGTAAAGTAATTACCTCGTCACCCGTTACTACTCCTTTTCTCCAGCAAGAACTTGGGGTATCTCCTCCATCTTTTTTTGACAACAACCAACTTACAGTAGCAAGATTTCACTCCCTTGCTCTCCTACAGCAAGGGAAAGAGGTGGGTTCTCTCCTCAAAGCAGAGCTTTTACTGGCATATCAGGCTGCTTTCCTGGTGCAGAGAGGAATGCAGCAAGCTGGTGAATTTCTGGAACCCCCTGAATTGTGCCTGCTTTGTTTTGTGTTGCAAGTTGTCACTTATGATGCTGGGCTGGGCTCTAGGGGACTATGGTTCATTCCTCTCCTGTGCCTGCTTTCCCTTTGACATGATACCTGTTCCCTACCCAAGCCTGGCGCATGGAATGCCTGGATGAAAGGAGATGCTGTTCCAAACTCAAGTGGGATGCACACACAATCCTTGTTGGGCACAACTGTAGCTCCTGGGGGACAAATCTTGTCCTTTAATCTAGAAAAGCATTTATTGGCTATTCACTGGAACAAGGAGGCATGGTCCCTACTCTGTAAGGCAGGGATTGGAAACTTGTGACCTGGCCATACTGCCCAGGGCTGATAGGAGCCAGGAGTCCAACATATGGCCAGTCACAGGTTCCCCATTTCTGTTGGAAGAAAGGATATGCATGCCAGATGATAAACTGCCCAGTAACCTAATCATGGATGTGAGCCTCATTTAAATTTCTCCCTCCTAACTGCTTGGGATCCAAGCTGGGGCCTAGCATGAAGCGGTAGCCAATTATTATTACATGGTAGACTAGAATCCCCCAATTGTTTCTCATACAGAGCAGATGACTGGATTGGGTGGCTGCAAGGGTTGAGAGGGAATTCAAGGACGTCATGTGCCACCAGCAATGTGGAAGGAGGACACAAAAAATAAACCACTCCCCATGCCCCGTATCAGTCAATGAGCTGCACTGGTGTGTGACAGGCTCAAAGGGGGCATGGCTTGTCCTCACTGGTCAGTCTTCAGTATATGACAACAAACTATATATCTGGAGCCAGGTAAAAACGGGCCCTTGGGCAGCTGCAGTAGTTCACCTGAACTCATGAAAATTCTTCATTTCATGTAACATTTCAAAATAAGGGTGTTGAACAGCAGAAGCTTAAGTGTAATCTTAAGAACTGAAATATGAAATGGCTGATCGGCTACCAAAAGTATGCAACACCCTAAGATCAGCCTCTGTGCTTGAGGTCCTAAAGGTAACACCATTTTTTAAAAAAGATAATTGGGGAGCTGCCATGAAATTACAGGCCAGTTAGCTTAACATCTCTACTGGAAAAGCTATTGCAGAGCATTATTAGAGGTAGAATTACCAAGTGTACAAAAAAGAGAGCCTTGCTGAAAAATAACCAGCACAGTGTGTACATCTCAGAAACCTCCGTACAACTCACTCACTCCCCCTTTGCAGCAACAACAGGAAGGTCTCAAGTTACACTTAGAACACAACCTTGAGAAGAGCGAAGAACATCCTGTCTCACACTCAGTAACTTCAGATGAATCACATGATGTAAACAATGAGCTGCTGGTTCGCAGCTGGTGAGCACTCATATCCCAACACATCTTGCCTCCCATAGCAGTTATTTTAAGAGCGTCAATAAGTATATCTGCGGAGGTGCTGTGGTAGATACCGTTTTTTTAAAACTTTTTGATACAGTTCCTTACCAAAGACTAATGAGTAAGCTTAGCAGTGATGAAATAAAGAGGATAAGGTCTTATGGATCAGCAGCTGGTCAACAATCAGGAAGCAAAGGGTAAGAATAAATGGGCTGTTCTCACAATGGAAGACTGTAAGTAGGCCCCCCCTAGGATCAGTACTGGGACTTGAGTTTTGAACTATTATACTAATAACCTGGAGTTAGGAATGAGCAGTGAGATGGCCAAGTTTACAAATGGCACCAAATTGGTCAGGGCAGTAAGAACAAAAAGGATGTCTCCAAACTGGGTGAATGGGCATTCAAATGGCAAATTCTATTCAATGTAAGTAAGTGCAAAGTGATGTCCATTGAGGCAAAAAATCCTGGCTTCAACTGTACACTTAAAGGGGCCTGAGCGAGTGATAAACTGACCAGGAAAAAGGTATTGGAGACATTCAATGGAAGCATCAACTAGTGTGCCACAGCTGTGGAGGTGAATACCATCTTATGGACCATTAAGAAAGGGATTGAAAACAACTGTCAGTATTGCAACACTACTATACAAATCTGTGGTGATACTGCACTTTGAATACTCTGTACAGATCTGGTCACTGTCCCTAAAAAATACATTGTAGAACTGGGAAAAGGTTCAGAAAAAGGCAAGCAAAACGATCATGGGACAGGAACAAATCCCCTCTAATGAAAGGATACATTTGTAATGCTGGAAAAAACAGTGCGTGTGGGAACATGTATACAATTATGCAAAATGTGAAGAAAGTGGGTAGGCATTTTCTCTCTTCTAATGCTACAAACACTTCCTCCAACCCAAGATGACTCTTCAAATTCATGAGGACTGAGTGTCCCACCCAAAGCCTCAGTCTGGGATGCATTTGGAAACTGGTGAGATGAAGGCCTAGGCACCAGGCTGCGTCAGCTCGTCTGCTTGTGTGCCCCCTCCCTGTCCTGCCCACCACAGTATATGTGAATATTTGTGAATGTTTGTAATGGCCCAAGACTTGGGCTCTCTTTGCACCATAAATAAAATCAGATTCTAAATAGC